AATTTACATGCAGGGAGGTGTGACTAGGGTTCATAAAGAAAGGGATTTAACTCCTAAATGGCAAAGGACTGAGCAGTGAGGCTGCAGGGGCATGTTCTATACACCAAAACTGCTTCATTAAGCTAAAGTTGTTCAGGTGACTATAGTGTCCCTTTAAATAATAATTCTATCAAATCCCATATGGAGTTTACCAAACAGTGGGAGAGAAAGTCAACATGTGGAAAATGGTTCTCTGGTCTGTTAAGTTTATTTAATGAAATAGAAAAAAATAGAAAAATATAAATATGTATTGTGCAAAGCCAAAACTGCTGATTACCTTGAGAATACCGTTCCTACATTGAGTCATGGTGGTGTTAGCATCATTTTGTGTTTCATCTGCTGACAATGGGAAACTGGTCATAACTGAGGTCAAGATAAATCAAGCCAAAAACAGAGCAATTCTAGATGAAAAAGAAATAAATCTCAACTCAGTTGAGAATCTGTGGAAAGATGTGAAAATGGTTGATCACCAATGGTCCTCATTCAATCTGACAGAGCCTGAACATTTTTGCAAGATATTGCAGAATCCAGATTTGCAAGGCTGGTAGAGATTTACTCCAAATTCTCACAACTGTAATTACAGTTAAAAGTAATTCTATTTTACTTTTTATTTAATTTAATTACAGGTTCTAACACTACAATATACGGAAACAATCCAATGTGATTTGCTTATACAAGGCCCTGAATCTTCTTAGGTTCTAACTTTAATTTTCTTGCAGTCCTCTACACTAAATCTGATTGTTGAGACACTAAAAGAACAGTATAGGACTGTTCACCAAACATTAAATGGACACTCCAGACTCATAAAGCACTTTAGCTTGCCGAAAAGCTTTATGTGTGACTAGTGTGTCCTATTTTTTTTCATTTTGGTAAAAGTGCAGATTTCAATAGAAATTGAGACTTTTATAAATGATAGTGGTTACACCCCCAGAGTTTTCAAGCAGACAACAGGGCCTGTTAATTCCTTGTTTGCTTAGTTTATTTGCACTGAACTCAAGAGGCAGCAATTGCCCAGAGCACATGCCTTGCAAATATGTCTCATTGAGCAGCATTGAGAAGTCTGTGATTGGACAGCCACAGAAAGTCTGGGCTGGGTTAGAAGGGGAGGACTTGCAAAGGCAGCAGACAAGAGATCTGCGGTTCTTGCAAGCTGTTTTTTAGATATAACCACAATTAAAAAATGCATAATTAAATGCATGCAAGTTTTCATTTGGGGTATATTTACTAAACAGTGATTTTTTTAAAATAAATTTTCTATTTGGACAGTGGAGTGTTTCTTTAAGTTACGGTTTTTGAGAAGCGATTTGAAAAAAATAGGCAAACTTAACAGTTGAGAAATATGGAGATTGTTTCTAACTGAACACTGCAAGTTAGTTGTCAAGTCGCTACATTGTCAAGTCATTGTAAAATGAGAAACATAATGCCGTCAAGCATGCTTTTCAACTCATGTTTTTAAGAAAGGCAGTGGATAATAGTTGTTTTAGGTCTAATGAAAATGGCTGTTTCATGCCAGCAAATATTTTAAGTATCCATTTATGGGGAAAAAATTCAAGCTTGAAAAGAAGATGATTTAAGCAATTTTGAACTGACCCAGAAAGCCCTATTCATTCTTATTGAAGCCAAATTTAAAAAAGTATTTTGTTAAGGAAGAACCGATCAGCATCAAAAAGTACTTTAGTGTATGTTTAAATATATTTTTTTTTAAATAAAAAATACAAATAAGTTAAAAAAATGCATCCATGCTAAATTAAAGGACAACTAAATGCACTTTTTATCCTTACAGCAAGCCTTACCATAGAGTAACTAGAAGTAAAAACTGTGAATTGAACAGCAAGTAGTCTGAGCCCACTAGAGGGTGCCAGAATAAAACAGTCTTTACAAAATAATGTAAATATTTTTTTTAACTTTATTTGATAGTCACAAAAACAAAAATGCATCAGGGGAAATGGGAATGGTGGACAAGTTAGTCTGACATGTTTTGAGCATTAAACACTTTGTTCAAAACAGTCTTGCTCTAAGCCTGTCTGGGAGCTGTGAACACTCGAGTTGGGAATATAGGATTATATTACACATTTGTGAGCATGTGGCTAGAGCTTTCTATTGTTATTTTAGTTGTTTGCAATATCTATGTCTGACAAAATTATGTCTCAAAGAATGGATCCCCTGTTCCCACATAAGTTCAGACATTCGATAATAATTCTAAATTGCCCAAATTGGGATCAGCACACATACAATATATACCGTTTTATATCTTTTACTACTACTTAAAATCTCATGTAAACATATATATGGGTTTACACACGGCACATGTATTTTATATCCAGTTCTTTGAGTATTTAATCAAATTTTTTTGTTACCTGTAATTGATGTTAACTGCTTTCTTGTAGGTGGACTTTATTGATGAGCACAGGTAGGCCGATGTACACATATCATTGCAGTACAGTTACCACTCCCCATAACAGCCAATGTTTTCCATGCCGTTTAATTAGTAACATTCCATTCAAATAGCACTAGTAAATAATACTGCCATATGATTTACCATGACAATATAAGTGGAAGATATTAAGGAACCTGAAAAGGATGACTTGATATTACTATTGCAGAGTAACATAAATGGGTTTTGAACAATCATGTTTACATTTCTACATGTAAACCTTGATATAATTGGATACAGATTGGTAGAACATAAGGTTTTTACAAATATGCATGCTCATTTTCAGGGGTCGTAGGGAAGCAGATTTCCAATGTACTTGTTTTCCTGAGCACTTCCACTGCTTCGAGCAATAGACATTTGTAAGAAAAAAGGAAGAAATGAAGGGAGTTATGAAAAGGCTCAATCACATGTGAACATGTAAAGAGTATGAGAAATCAAAGAGAAGAGTCAGCGCTAGGCTGCCACAGAAAATAAATATTTATACAAAGTACACGGCTGCACACCTCAAGGAAAAAAGGGGAATCCCCTCTAATCTCCTAACAATAAATATAATACAAAATAACACAAAACAGAAAAGGGTGCGCCTTAGAAAGAATGATATAAGTAATAATAGTCCAAACGACTTATCATAAATCCAGTATGGTGCAATCCACACTCATAGGAAGGACTCTTGAAATACAAAAAAATGGAATCGGTCTTCACGAGTATGTGCTTGAAATTCAGTGAAGCATATGAGGAAAGAAAACTCAGAAACAGGACTCCAATGGTACAGCATGTACAAAATAAATAAAAAATAATAAAATAGTGGTAATCAGTACTACTCACAATCTCCAGAGCTAAAATACAGCTCTGGTATTGAATGCGTGAAGTGGAATGATCCCCACTCAAGGATATGTGAAGTGGTGCTGGTTGACAGGTGTATAAGATGAATCAGTAGTCCATTATTGGTGCGATCCAGCTCAAAATAGAAAGAGTAAAATATAGTGCTCACTGTGTCTTTATGAATAAAGAGATATAAAATATATGAAATGTACTCACAATATGTAGAGCAGGCTATACTGCTCGATGTATGCGTATGGGTGGTACAATCCCCACCTACGGATTCTTTGTGCTTCTTTAATAAGTTGTGAATATCAATGTAGCCAGGTAAAAACGTATAAAATAAAATAAGAATAATAAAAAGGAATATGGCAATCAACATTTTTTTTTGCCAAAATAATTCCTTTATTAAAATATAATAAAAACAATATCAAGACACGTTTCGCCTAAAAAGGCTTCTACAAGTAGATAATAATCAAAAAACTAATAAAAAAAATGTAAAGAGTATGGATTGTTTACTTATTCATATGTATAAAATTAAATATCACAATGACTATTCTCATATAAAAACTTGTTTTCATGTTAAATAAATACGTCTACATCAATGCAAAACACTGTATAGTAATAACACTGTACCGGTAATAAAACAGGGCAATCCAGGGGCTAATTCTGAAAGTGGGGCAATCTGTTAGTTTCCAAGGTGATGCTTGGCTTCCTGATCTGCCCTAGAAATCTTTCTATAACTGACCTCCTATGATTATATAGTTTATACAAAAACATTGTATCCTCCATACATTTCAGTTCTAGGAGCTCTGTTTCAATTAACACTGAAAGCTCATTGGCCAGAGCAACCCAATCCTAACCCAGTCAGTAACCAACCAAAATACATTCATTTGAGCCTGTTGGTTTCTTATTACACAGGTAAAAAAAAGTGCAATAAATAAAGCCAAGTAAGTTACACTCGGTATATAATGAACTGTTGCAAGTGGGACACTTAAACTGGACTAGCAAAAAGCAATCATTTTCTTAGTTTGAAGACACAGATGCAATAGGAAATATATAGTATGTATATACTGTATAATGCTTGAATAGCATACTTTCAATTTATTTCTAATTAACAATCCTTGGCTGTCCATCTGCCGGATGACCACTCCTATAGCCCTGATTCAGCTGATGGCTTTACTTAGTGGGAGACAGAGTTCTTTAACATCTGGAGGGCAGCTGGCTAAGCAAGTCTAATTTAAGTTAAATCTAAAGATCCTGAATGTTGCAAGCAATGAATGTACAACATAAGACAGATAACACAAGTATGTTGAATGTTTTCCAGAGTTTTGTTTGTTTTTAGTTTTTTTTAGTTTTTAATGTGTTTTTCACACTATACTGTATTTTGTTTGTTTTTTCTATAAGCAAACATTTAACAGTGCATATCTTGAAATTTAAAAGCACAATCTTGGGTGCACAAAGTAAAATTATTTTCCTTTAGGAAGAGAAAATATATATGAAATGATTCAAATGAGAATGACTACATTTTCATATTAGTCATAGGATTCCAATCAGCACACTATTTATTTTTTCCTGGAGAGAAAAGAAAAGAATTGCTCTTGGCTAAATGTGTTGTAACTCCTTAACTTGTTTAACAGTTGCAAATCTGTTTAGAGGGTGGTACTTTTGTATCAGGTTGATAGAATAATCCACTCCCACAAAATTCCAAGCAGTATATAAAGTGAGTGCACATCTATATCATTTGGCAGTTCTCCCTTTTCATTAACAAGAAGCATTGGGGAAACAACGTGATGAAACTCATATTTTTATCCATATTTTTAGCGTCTGCTTTACACCAGGCAGACAGCAATGGCTATTATGACAAGATTTTGTCACACAGTCGCATAAGGGCAAGAAAAGAGGGGTAAGTGTGATTTTGTCTAAAATTGAATTGTATTACATAAATAAAAAGCCATTTAAACATAAGTTTGGGATTATTCTTTAATAAGTTCGCAAAGTTTGGATGGTGATACACCCATAAAAATTAACATTATGGAAAAAAGTTTAATACTTGACAAATATTTAATCCTTATTCAGAGAAACTTTAACTTGTTTTATGTTGTTCTCTGATGTTCATCCCAAGAGTATACATCCAATTATGCAAACAAAAATAAATAACTTATACAAGAGATAAACTAATAAACTGATAGAAAATGCATGATTTTTAGACTGAATTATTTGCTCTTTTGTAAGCATCCATTAAAAGAGTTTGTCATAGGGATTGAATTACCAGAAATTGTATCATTTGCTCATTGCAGTGTAATCCAAATATTATTACATTTACGTTTAATTGCATTATTAGAGTTGGTCAGTTTCCTACATATAATTTAATTGAGGCATTTTTACATTGTTTTTAAGTTAAAACTCAAGGCAAGTGGACCTTAAGTTGAACACATCTATTGTTGCTCATAGAGGAATATTTATATAATTTAAAAAGCATTAATACGGTATTTAATTTAATACTTTAACATTATTTTTCATGCTTTTTTTATGTTCATTTAAAATGTTTTTAAAAAAATAAAAAATAAAAATAATCAATAGCAATAACAGTCAAAATTATAAAAAATGATGTAACAAGGTGTTTATTGACCAAGGACACATGTCCTGTGATGATTGAACAATACAAGTTCAATGGTTAAAAATCTTTAAAGTTGACAATATTTTATTTATTTTTTTACTTAAACCGTGTTAGTTTAATGGTGCCGGATGCCTGAAATTGATGGGATTACCAAACAACTGATGACTTTACCATATACTGGAGGTTTTCTAAACAAAGAAATGCCCTTCCACATGTGCTCTGGCTGCAACGGATACAATTTCAGTGTGGAGTGGGCTGTAGTTATAATGGATTAGAACACTTAGTGCAAAAGCTATAAAACACATTTTAACATGTTCCAGCACAACTGGCAACCGCTGCAAAGCAGAAAAGGATAAAGCTTTCTTTTGTCTCTGTGCAGTGCAAAAAGGGGGCTAGGGGGAGAGTTCTTTTTTTATTTGGTTTCTAAGCATGTTTTGTGAATCTGTGAATTTAAAACTAACAAAGGAAACAAATGACAATTAATTTATATGTATGTGTTTTTTTTTATTTTTTTATAGTCCAAATGTCTGTGCTTTGCAACAAGTTATGGGAACAAAAAAGAAGTACTTCAGTACTTGCAAAAACTGGCACCAAGGGGCCATCTGCGGCAAGAAAGCGTAAGTTTACTATTAATTTTTGTATGGTTCTTTACTACTGGCGTGTGCAAAATGCAACACTAGAAAAAGGTTAAATACTTTGTTATTATTATGACTCATGTCTCCTTAGCTTTATTGTCAATGTTTAGAGTTTTTCTGACTACAATCCTCAGCATTCCTGGAAAGTGGAATAACATAAAGTAGTTGTAGGATGAGCTGAGAGTTGTGGGGGTTGATGTACTTTAGTCATGGTTGTTCCATGGTAGATAGATTTCCTTGTCTGGTTGTAGACTAGTAATAGGTTTTCCTTGCCCTGTAATATGGATACTGGGCTATGATCTAGGGGAAGACATAAATTAAACATAATGCTCTTGAGATATATAAGGAGAACAGCAGAAGCATTCACATACCAAGATTTATAAGGTAGAGGTCAGTTCAGTTCCTTCCTAGACGTTTTGTAATGTTTTCTTTTTTTCCCCTTATGGTTAAATTATGCCTTTTCCAGTGGAAAGTTAGATACGAAGCATTTTTTATGCTTACTAAACACTTTTTAACAGATGGAGAGCCAACAACATTTTGCAAGATGCTGAACACATCATCTATGATTCCGATGTTTAAAGAACACATGTTGGCTTGGAATTTGGTGTACATGTCTAAATGGGTTCTAATAATAGTGATACATTAGAAAAGTGGTTTTTAACCTCCTTTGAATGGGAACCAGGCTATTTACTTAGCATTAGTTTGTGACTCATTCTTTCACTGTAAAGAAAAATACCCTTGGTGGACTCTTCCCAGAGACAAATGGCTCTTTATTTGTCCATGGAAGGCAATTCTACCAAAGTATACAAATATATCATGGGCAGTTGCTTTAGAGTTAATGAATAGGAAGTACCTTTTCTACCCTCCAGTTTTTTCCTGAAAATGTAATTGGGACAAAAATTTGGATCCTGACACAACATATGGTTTAGATATCTGCATGAATGGCAACATTCAGACTTTATAAATGTTTGGAAAATAATTCAATCACAATATAAAATAATAGCAAATGCATCATATTGCATTAAATGTTTATTTCTTATGTGGTTTATAATGGTATGTAGTTTGGAACAATTAAAATTTAATTATATTATGGATACTATTGAGTTTGGTAATAATGACATCTCTAACCTAATACATCTCCTTCTTTATACAACAAAAGAAAATATATTATCAACTCTTTTTTTTCTATAGAAATATCTCGGATTTCTGGTCATATATAATGAGACACTTAAAGCTATTTTACAGAAGGAATAGATTACATTTAAGATTTTAATGCATTTTCCTACCCAAATGTATCAACTTTAAAAGTCATTGTTAACAACTGATGTTTTCTTAAATTTTTAACTTAGCGATCACAGACTTACTTCGTATACATAACTGTGTCTGAGTAAAAAAAATATATAATTTGTTTTTGAAGACCACTAGAACCAATTAGCAATGAAAAGTATTTCCATTTGAGCTCATTTATTGTGTTGAGTTTCCATTATTGACATAATAGACTTAAAGCCAAGCATAAGACCCAGTCTAGCTTCAGGTTTCAGAGATAACTATAAGGTGTGCTCACAAAAAAAAAAAAAGACTCCTCAAGCAACATTTGAAGGACAGGCAGTTGATAAAGGTGATTTCAAGTTGGTTCAAGTCAGGTAATCTCAAATACTCCAACTATTCAGTAAGAGCTGATTAAGGAACTATATCGAACAGATTGGGTCAACTTTCAGAGTAGCTGACTTGAGCTGACTTGAACAATGCTTCAGCATTTTTCATGCTGATTAGCTGTGTTCCTTATAATGGAACTATGGCGTGCATGAGAAGAGAAAGGTTAAATTTACTTTGCTTAGAATTATTTTTACAATTTGTTTAAGTTTAGTAGTATTTACTGATTACCCTATTGGGTGGATGAGAACATACCTAAAAACAGACTAGCAGAATTCACTCATCCCATGTTAATTTAAATGAGGGCTAATGGTAAACTTGATTGGAGGCACTTTGGATGTCCACCACACACACACACACACACACATATATATATATATAAATATATATACACACATACATTGGATTGGCTAGGAAATGGGTGACCTTTTGGGCTCCATGCCCCTGCATCAACAAATTAAATCACTGCCTAGTACTATCTCTCACTCATAATTGGTTGGGTGAAACTTATTAAAACCAAGTGGCTCCATGAATTTTCTTGAAATTAATTTAATGTTAATACATGGTGTTACTTGATTGCTCGTCACGTGCTAACGGTTAATAATAAAAAGCACAGGTATCAATGTATCCCATTCTTTCCTCATCCCTTAACTTGTGGGAATGGGCATACAGTTGATGAGTAGACTAAACTAATCTTTTAACTAAGACACTTATAACACTATAATGTATACAGCTATTTTCCTTATTTTCTCATGAATTTCTTTCATTAATCAATTATCTGTGATTATTTATCACTCAACTTGCAAGCTGTGGGCAATAGACATGCAAACTAGTAAAAATGTGTTCTAAATGTAACTCTTGGTTACAAGTGCAAAACCAATAACAATACTGTTAATGTCACATTAACAAAGAAAATCACTATAGACAGTGTTGCTCTGTTTTAAGCCCATGGCAGACAGGAGCTATAGTTTGCAGGAAGTGTTTCTCTTGTCCCATTTTGAAAATCAGTTTTGCCTGTCAGAATTAATTACAAAGAAATGCTGAATAATGTCCACAAGAGGGTGTTCCAGATCTTTAAGCACTGTGTCATAAACTTAACTTTTTATTTATTTTATTTCAAACTATTAAACATTTAAAAATAATGGAATATCACCTAACCTTAAGAAAACAAAAGTTACACGACACAAACTAAATTTAACAGATGAAAATTTATATCAGGTTTGACCTTTTCAATCCAACAATATACCACAAATAATGTATAATCTTCAAAGTCGTTGCCAATGTTTAATATTTGCTTGTGTTCAAAACAATTAAATGCATGTTTCTGAACTCTATAATGTAATGTACAAATTTTTTTTTTTAGAAAGTCCCCACCCAACAACCCACACATCCATCCATCCATCCAATAAGTAGTGCATTAATTCCATTTGCAACATGTATTTTGTATTACTATCAATTTCTTTATATAATATTTTAAACCTCTGAAACTAAGCATTCACTTCCTCTGTGAATTGAGATTTTGGTAAATATGTAGAATCATCATAACTTTTTTTTTAGTTATCTCATTGGACTACATATCACTAAATACACAATTATATATTATTTTGCTTTTTCAGACATTGCAATGTGTATATACTTGCTGGCAGTGTATAAATACATAGTCTACAATATATAAAAGTGCATTGCTGGAGATCTACTCATTAAAAGTCAAATTGAATTGGCTCGGCAAACCACTGGTGGGTAAAATAGTGGTCTCATGTAAAAAATTTCCAAATCAGTTATTTACCTATTGCACCATTTCCGTGTGTATGAAGTGGGGTTTCAAAGCAATAAAACTAACAGTTTTGTGTGATGTGTGAATGAATCACATAATTCCATACAGTAATACAGCATGTAGTGTGTATGAGTGTATTACATAACTCCACAAAACAAAGATATTTTTCCACAATACATGAGATCACCTTCCGATTTCCTACCTTTCCGTAAGTTGAGGGGGCAATGTACATAAAGTGCATGTGCAGACCCAGCAGGCAAAAAAGCAGTTGGACGTGTTGGAGTTAAGTTCCCTTGTGTCCTACCTGCACTCAAGACCTGTGGGTGGGTTACATGATATTAGTGGGTCAAAACCAGCCTACAAGCTAAATGTTTGATACTCCTACCCTAAGAGGTTTACTATTATTTCAACCAATGAGCAATGGGGCCAAAATAAATGAGGGGTAGGCATTAGATTCTAAATGTGGGCCGCCAAATTCTCATTATTGTACTATGAGACATAAACAAATTTTTGAGTGGGCCAAGTAAAAAACAAGGATAAGTATGTTTGCACACAGTAAGACTGGACTACTTTGACTTGAGCTAGTAGATTTTAGAATTGTTGATAATGTCTTCAAATTGGAAGGTGCACTGACTGTATCATGTACTCGGCCAAGGATGAAAAGTATGGGCATGGATCAAACGCCCATCTTGAATACACTTGAAAACATTCATTTAATCCAGTTTTCAACTTATTCCACCATCTCTAAATTTAGTTGTAACTAATAAAATAGTTCATGTCGGTTTGCTTCCTATTATGTTTGTGAGTGGAATAAGATGAACTGTATTCAGCAAGAATTATTTTTGAATATTGATGTAGAAGAGACATTTTTTAAGGTATGAATCTCCTAAATACTGCCACTTTTTGAAGTGTTTCAGTATATTGATAGTGATATACCTTTACATTTGTAACTATATATATTTGACATGCACTAACTCAAATGGTAAGACAGCACACTTTTAAAACCTTTATATTTTACCATAATCAGATATGACCTGGTTTTATATAGGTATATTACAGATTGTATTATATGATTGTAGTGAAACATGACCTCTGAGGAGTTTTGTAGGTATGAGACACTAACCTGATTTTTATGGACTTTAGTTTGAGAAGTCACATCTGTTTGGCATTAAAACCACATGATTTAAGAAATCCCAATAAAAATTGATACAATTATCATGTAGAAAATAAGGAACTGTCCGTCTGTTAAAATGCAACTGGAAATATATAGATATATTTATTTTTTATTTATTTTTTTAGAATATTTCAATGTTATATCATTAAAGGGATACTATAAACACCAGACCAACCAATATGTCTTGTTTTTAATATGTCCTGTTGTATCTCCCCTTAGAATTACTTGTTCCCCTCCTAATATGGCCACCTTACACTAACCTAACCCCCCTTCAATATGGCTACTGACATGATTTTCTACTACTACTCCCCTTTTCCCTACCAAGATGGCCGCCGTGGCTATTTTTCAGGCTATTTGAAACACATGTACCTTCATAGCTAATAAGCTATTCTCTCCCAAGATAAATATTCCTGTTACTATGTGTGCACTTTATAAAGAAGTACGTGTAGCCCTATTTCGATGTCGGCAAACACAAGATTTTCACCAACATCGTACACATTGCACAAAATACTACATTTCCCATAAGGCTTAGCGGCCGTGAAATTATGACGCGCATATGATGCGTGTCACATGTTTCGGCTTCAGATGCCAATATTATCTCTATAAACACTTGTTTTTATGGTAAATTAACACATTTCAACTCTACACTTGAGGATCCACAAATGTATATGCTTTTTTTCTATATTTATATTGTGTAAAGTAACACTGTTTGTCTATTGGAGGACAGCCTATGATGCATTTTTGTCGCCAATTTTAAACTACCCATCGGTATATAAACCCCAACTAGTCAGGTTGCATGTTTTGATTCCATTTGAAAAAGCCTATATTGGTGAAACGCGTTATGGATGTTATTTTGTATTTTATCTAATAAAGGATTTTGGTTACCACAATAGCATATTGTGCCATTAACTTTATATTTAACACCATCATATCCTATAAGTGGGAATTGTACCACTGTACGCAATATACGCTAGAGCTAGCCATAGCTCTTTTACATGTGAGTGTAACATCGCAACTTTGAATATACCCTGATATTGAGTTTTGACATATCAGGTTTTTGACATATCAGTTTGCCTTACCTAAGAGATTTGACTTACCACATCCCCCAAGTACCAAGAATCCATGCTTATCCCTCTGCATGGAAACACTGAACTTTCCTCATAGAGATGCATTGATTAAATGCATCTCTATGAGGAGATGCTGATTTTCCAGCACTGTACTTGGCTTGTGCTGGCTCTGCCCCCGATGGGCATCCTTGACACTCTCAGCATAACCTATATGAAAGCATTGTGATTGACTGAGAGAATCACATCTGATGATGTCAGCCAAGCAGGTAGATCAAGTGCAGAGCCAGCAGCAGTAGACTGGAATAAAGGTGATATTTTACTATATTTAATAGGGCAAAGGAGGTGGCAGGAGGGCTAGATGGTGTGTTTAACACAATTGGGTCAGAAATACATGTCTGTATTCCTGACCCTACAGTGTCCCTTTAACTTATGACTGTAGATTTTGCTACTTAGCACATTAAAAGGAAATTAGATATGGTTCAACCCATAGGGTATTCATTATAAGATTATTTATAAAAAATGATTTCTTTCTACTGAAATTGTCTCAATTTATTAATCTCATTTTCTAATTTTGAAAGAAAGGTTGATAAAACTTAATTTCAGATCAAGTCAAAATTGTGGTCGGAAGAAGTAAAAGTATATAACAAAAAAACGAAAACTGACAGCTGAGACGACTGATCCTAATAGCTCTCTTGATACTGACTTACTGCTAAATAATACTCTATTATAACTGACTTCACAAATACAGCTGCCAAGGCAACGTCCATATTCACCAAGAACTTTATACAAATTCTTCTGGCAGAATAGAGATTTCAAGAAGGAAAATAGTTATTGTAGCCATGTATTACCCAAGTGGGGAGACAAAATACCTAACAAATAGAGCACGTCTCCCTGTTCAGGAAAGCACTAAATCAGTCCAATGTAAATGTTTCAGTCCTATATATGGACTTTTCTCCACAAAGAAGTCCATATATAGGACTGTGACATTGACGATGGATTGATATGTAATAAAAAGCATGTATATGAATGTTTAACAAGTCCTGTGAGTGCCTCCATGAGCTGCTTTGTGTGCTACTTGACCAGATTGAACACTGTGGCAATTATTTCATTTTCAGTGTGTGTGCGTGTGTGTGTGTGTATATATATATATATATATATATATATATATATATATATATATACAAAATATTATATAAACATGGAGTTGTTGTGTTCTCTATATTTCTCTGTATGTTTTTTTTGACCAGGCAGTGTTCAGAAAAAGTGTCCTGGTAACCATTCGGTTTAACTTGGATGATAAATGCCAGGTTCCTTGCCACATTAGACCCCAGAAAGTTTATTAAAGTCTCTTTGACAAGCAAATTACTACTTGTGACTAATGAAAACTTCCTAAACAGTTAATATGCTGAATGTGTGTTGATCTGAGCTTTGCTGTGCACTTGTATTACTAGTACTTACCAAAAATTATTTTAGAATAATCCTCCTCCCAATTCTTTTTTATATTAGACACATTATTTGAATCGAATCATCTACGTAACACATTTTGGAATGGTTTCAACTGTTTCATAACGTGTTCATCAATTTGTTGAGATTTAAAAAAAGAGAGAATGGAATTAAATACCTGAGTAGGAGACAAAAGCTTATGAGGAATCTGTGAATAGTATATCTTTAAAGAGAGGAGTGAACATGTTCTTTGGGTCATTGACATAATGCTTGTCACATTTTATAGAGTAGGAACAAGATAAAGAAGATCTCATTACTCTTTAACTTTCGACTTTACCAAGTGTTTTATTGAAACATGATTAAAACTTAAATTCATTGACATGAATTTATCATCAATCTGTTAGAAATTAGATTTCCAGGCTTCATTCTTTAGTTTTTGCCAGATATATTCCCAAAGCTCTAAAACTTAATTTGCAACTATTTAATTTGTTGGTGCTTAGCCACAACTAACCATATTTCAAAAACATATGGTCTTTGATGGATAATAGGAATATAGACAAGATTTCAGAGCCCTCCAAGCATCCAAAGATATTTATTACATAGTTATTAAACATGGCAGTACAACACTATTAATCGTTCAACCCTATTGTTGGCCTACAATGTTGACTTCAGATCCTATGTATGCTGTATTCTATAATTTGATTTACATTTTAAGAAGCCAAAATATGAGTTCAATTCTACATATATGCGGTTTCATTTTTTATCAATATCAGTTGAAGAAAAATGTCTGGACTTAATTTATTTTAATATGGTTACTGCAAAGTATGCATACCTTGAGACAAAGGATATATTTCCAATCATAATCATTTCTAGGAATTCCTTTTTTCCTAAATCTCTCATTTTAGTTTGGAATCATTCCACATCTTGTAAGGGCTGGTTAACTTGAACTGGTTTAATATGCTATTATTTTTATAGGGGGTGTTGTTTTATCAAATTATTATATGTTGCTCATCCTTAGAGGATTATATATATATATATTTTTAATTATTTGTTATTAAATTATTATTAAAAACAACTCATAGAAATTCAGATTAAACATTTTTTTAGAATATTTACAGAATATTTACAACAATTCCTCCAAAATTTGTATAGCTACCTATAAAATGATTTTAATGAGCTCAGAATTGAAGATCATTCAAATCCATTTACTATAGCATCTAATGTTCAAATGGTGCCAACTAGATTTCAAAATGTTCAGGAATTATATCCCAATACATTTCTCAATGAGTCTTAAGTTGTAAAAACATTTTGGGATGTGTTTCTTCTTGATCAGCTAGGTAGCAAAGGGTTAACAAAATAACTAAATAAATTTATTTTTATTTTTTTTGAAAGTGGGGTCCTTTACATTCCCCGTTTACTAGGAGGGGCAAAATGATATAGTTTCTCCTATTCTATCATATTTTGAGCAATAGGATATGTTTTATTGACGTGAACGGTTTAGTCTGTGAATGTGTTGGTTTTTTTTTGTTTTTTTTCTGGCTACTGTTTTCGTTTGATCAATTAGTATTAATAGTAAATTCTTCTTTGCATAGAACTAAATTTATTACTGTAAAAACCTCTCCTACAAAAAGCATGAAAGGTTTACTTTAGAGGATTATACCTATTATACCTGATTTGTATACATAAACTTTGCATGTTTTATGTTAGATAGAGAAACCTCATCATTGTGGGACAACCACTGAATGCCAATTGCTATAGGGCTGGATTTGGGCTTGAAGTTGTCCTAATATTTTAAATACGCTTTGATTTCATAAAAAATGACACACTAGGAAATAATCCCATCAGTATACGCAATACGAACTAGCTCGAGTGGTCTTTTTCAGGAAATAGTATGCCCTGATGTGGTGTGTAATGTTTTTTACTGTGACCCAAAGATGAAATCAGTTCTTTGGGCCACAATAGTAATTTGTAAAAATTTGTAACTGAGTTTATGAAAATTGCAAGTCTAAATTCTGAAATAAGCAGGCCACTCATAACTTTCCATAAAACAGATTAACTATAAGCTGAACTATTATTGTTCTCAGGGGATGTACTGGAAAACAAATGAGATGTTTATCAAATTTAATGGCACATACAGATGTGTAAATGACAAAAAGCATTAAATAATCAAACAATAGGCAAATAAATATTGATAAAATGAGTACCTAAAAATGATCTTAATACCCATAGGAAAATACCCTGAGGTACCTAGTTTCTATAATTGTATACGTCTATGTAGAGTTTTTGGATTTAGTGATTAATATCACATTTTGTTCCAACATACCAAATTTTGCAATCTTTCAGGTTAAAAACAGTACTTAATTCCTGGTATTATTTAACCTGTAACCGCTAAATAAAGTAATTGGAGTACTAGAACTATGGAGCATTTACAAAATAAGTGAATTTGTAGTGAGGTATTTTGTATATGCATTACAAAAGATATTGTCTTATATTTATGGTGGCATTGTTTAATTGTTTTTTTGGACAGGACTGTCATGTATGAATGCTGCCCTGGCTACATGAAAATGAATGGCCAACAGGGATGTCCTGCAGGTATGAATAAACATTTGCAATCCTCAATCAAATAAGTAAAGACATGTAAATGTTTGCTTACATTAAAATACGTGGAAGAACATCCAGAAAGAGTTATCTTGTTTGTCTGGCTGATTTCAACAAGATTATGTTTGTTATATAAATATTTATAAATGTATGTATAAATTCTAGATATAAGGGAAACATTTCTATTTTATCACAAAACAAGCCAAAGGGTGATGAAATGGCTACATGAAATATGCCCCTTAGGTATACCCTGAACTGTCTAATGTCTACAAACACATACTTTTTTGGAGTTGTTTAGGGCCCACACACTGCAACTTATGGAATATATGTATATTTCATTGTTTTATATATATTTGGAGCTCTCGTTTGAATGTCAGTTGGACTCTGTTTTGAATGTCGATTTACACTGACTGGAAATAACCAAAATAATGCAATACTGTTTGAGGCAACAATTCAGTTTTTCAATGACGCCAACTCAGTTGTAGAGTCACCTTTTGCAACCATCTCCCTTCTCATTGGAAATTTTAATCAGCTATAACTAGCAAAATAGCAGTTTCATGAAAATAAGCCAGTCAAAGACATCTTTAAAAAAGAAAGCACAAAATGGTTTAAAGAAAATCTTAATCCATTGGATGTGTAAGGACTTGTCTGTGTCCAAAATTCAAAAGGATTGTCCTCTAGTTGGTGCAAATTAGTAGCTGGAATAATGGATTCCTTATTTTCTTGATCTTCCATTGAGTACTTTCTTTTTCAAAGATGTCCTTTGTAGACTGATTTTCACTATATGATTATGAGGAGTAGACTTTTACATTAGCAAGACGTAGATGGGGTAGGTAAGATTTTCTATTTCATTTAAAGGTTGAATGTCTAGGTTACATATTCACACTATAGCAAAAAAGTCAAGTTTCCACTAACAGTATAAAAATTGGATATTTAAGCAAACATGAGTTAACAAGCTCAGTGGTCTATGCCTAGGATTTAAGGTTGCACAATCTTGATGTTCCATTAATTGAGCAACCATGAGAAGAAAAAACTTGGTTGCACTATTAATTAAGAAATTATGAAATCCAAGAGACTGCCTGCCTCCACATCTCATAATCTGTGTGTGAATGTGTGGGAAGTGGGAAGTAGCATGAACAACTGTTCCCAGGAACTCTTATGAATCAGGGGTAGTTAAGTCCAGTGTATGGTCAAATATTTCTCAAACAATACATATTTAAGTGAATTGCTAAATAATGATCCCCAATATAAAATAAATAAAAAAATTGTCTATTTTCAAATAATTATCTTTCTATATTTTCAGTTGCTCCAATCGACAATGTGTATGGCACCCTTGGTATTGTTGGTGCTTTAGCTACACAGGATTACTCTGACAGATCTGATCTGAGAAAGGAAATAGAAGGAGTTGGATCTTTCACTTTCTTTGCACCGAGCAATGATGCTTGGGACCTGTTAGACGCTGTAAGTATAGTAATTTATTTTTCACCTTCCAATAGATATTATGGTTAGAAACAGAGATCTCATCATTGATTTCAATATATGTAAAGTATTTTGATTGCCTTAGTGGACTATAATCATACAAATACATTTCTGTTAATATTTGTAAATAGTTTTATTTTTTTAGGCATCATAGAAAGACTAAACAGTCTAGAAACTATTTTGATATATTAGATTTATTTATTATTTTAGTTAATATTTAATATTTATTTTATTCAAGGCTTTATTTTTTAGTTAATGCATTATTTAGTAAAGAATAATATCCTAGTACAATCAAATTCTACAAGGTTTGCTTTCCAGATTTTAATAACATGAATCAGAAATAATACCTTATACCTTTAATACAAATCTGCAATGAAAATAAAGTATATTGCAGATGCAAAGCGCATAATGGTAGACCATGAATTTAAGGTAACATGAGCTTGGGTTTGATTTAGGTAGCTTGGTCGAGTCAAAAGTGGCAATTAACTAAAAGGTCTATCAAGTAAAGTCTAACTTTCAATCATCGTTGAGGGAAAATCAGTTGAAATTGAACATCAATAAGGTGAAAGCTTTACTTGCTTTTGAGAGTTTTCTTTATTCCATCCAAAGATATTGAAAACTAGACATGTGCAATTTGTTAAGTTCCGAATGTACATTCGGACTAATTTCGTGCAATTTGGACATTCGCATGCTTGCAAACGTCCGAAGTGCCAAAGTGCCGAAGTTCTGAAGTGACGAATTTCAGTAGTGCTGAACTGAACCTAATAACATTGGTCCGAACTGCCGAAGTTCTGAAGTGCTTCGGATTTCTGAAAAGTGGCAAAACAGAAGACAGGGAGGGAAAATTCCATGAATGATGACAGGAATCTTGATCAAGATGCGGTTGTGTGGCAGTCCGGGCACTGGGAGCCCTATAGATGTGTAAGTGGTTGTGGTGGCAGTCCGGGCACTGGGAGCCCTATAGATGTGTAAGTGATTGTGGTGGCAATCTTGGCCCTGGGAGCCCTACAGATGTGTAAGTGGTTGTGGTGCCAGTCTGGGCACTGGGAGCCCTACAGATGTGTAGGCGGTTGTGGTGGCAGACTTGGCACTTTGGGGCCCTACAGATCTGTAAGTAGTTGTGGTGGCATTCCATTCACTGGGAGCCCTGTAAATGTGTAAGTGGTTGTGATGGCAGTCCTGGCACTGGGAGCCCTATAGATGTGTATGTGGTTGTGGTGGCAATCCTGTCTCTGGGAGCCCTACAGATGTGTAAGTGGTTGTAGTGGCAGTCCTGGCACTGGGAATCCTATAGATGTGTAAGTGGTTGTGGTGGCTCCCATGGCTCCCAGTGCCAGGACTGCCACCACAATCACTTACTAGACATGTGCAATTAGTTTCATGCAATTTGTACAGATGCTTACGAATTTTCAAAGTGCCAACGTTCTGAATTACCGACGTTCCGAATTGCCGACGTTCCGAATTGCCGAAGTTCGGAATTGCCAACGTTCGGAATTGCCGAAGTTTGGTAGTTTGGAAGGGCCGAAGTTTGGTAGTTCGGAAGTGCCGAACCGAATGCCATTAGTCTTAATAGCCGAAGCAGACAAATTTTTTTACTTACACGATTTTCCGAACCAAACCAATTTTTTTTGCATATGCACATCCAAACTGCAAACAGGATAGAACCACTGTAAAGAAAAAAACATGTTCTTAGGCTAACTCAATGCATTTATGCCTTACATTTGTAATTTTGTTCTTTTCTAGGAAATTCGATCTTCATTGCTGAGCAATGTGAACATTGAATTGCTTAATGCTCTTCATTATCATATGATTAATAAGCGATTGCTGACAAAAGATCTGAAAAATGGCTTTACATTTGAATCCATGCTTAATAATGAAAAATTGTTAATAAACCATTATCCTAATGGGGTGAGTCAGCTTTTACCTATTTTACATACATTAAATGTTAGCTCATAAAATGATGTAAAAACTATAAATCATATGAACGGAAATCAATGTAGTGAATGTCTAAAATTAAATATTTGTAATTCTTTAGAAATGTTGAATGAAAATGTACTTTTTGAAGTTTTAAGCAATTACAAATGTAGTTACACTTTATTGTTCTACCTTTTAAAAAAAATAAAATAATAATATATTATCATTGAACCTATCATCATTACTTCTGCCCTCTTTTTGTGTTCTGATAACCTGGGTTCAAAGAGGGAAAAGTTGAAGTATATGTAAAGCACTAGCGACAAGCAGATGATAATGGTATTTTTTATTACCCACTTCCTGTTTTGAACAAACCAAAGCATTCTGAGTTAAAAGTCACCAGAACAACCAGAGCTTATTGTATATGTTATGGTGATTATAATAATTCCCTTCAGGCTCTTTACAGTGAACCCTGTCTTTTCAGAGGGAAGGCAGTGTTTACATTACAGCCAAGGGATTCCTTATATAGCTGCTAGAGGTGCTTCCTGGGGTAGTGCTGCACTACCATTCAGTGTCTCTACCCTCTGCATGGAGACACTGAACTTTCCTCATAGAGATGCATTGATTCAATGCAGCTGTATGATGAGATGTTGAATGGTCAGGGCTGTGTTTGGCTTGTGTAACCTCTGCCCCTGGTTTGCCTCCTTGACAGTCTTAGCCAATTCACTGCTTTACTATGGGAAAGCATTGTGATTGGCTTTGATCAACTCTTCTGATGATGTCAGCCAAGCAGGCAGATCAGAGGCAGAGCAAGCAGCAACAGACTGGAATAACGTTACAATTTGTACTATATTTAGGGGGCAAGGAGGTGAGTGGGCTAGATTGCATTTTTAACACGATATGGTCAGGAATACATGTTTGTGTTCCTGACCCTATAGTGTTCCTTTAAGCAATAGCAGACTGTGAAACTGAACTATATTTTGTGAATGACTCTTTGGTTTTGTTGGAATAATTAACACTCTGAAATGTATTAAAACAGATTGTCACAGTTAACTGTGCAAGAATCATCCATGGTAACCAGATTGCCACCAATGGTGTTGTCCATGTTATTGACCGTGTTGTTACAGCTGTTGGAAATACAATTCAAGATTTTGTTGATGCCGAAGATGATCTCTCTTCTCTCAGGGTAAGTTTGTCCATGAAAAGAGTTGTAAATCTCTCCTAAATCTCTCAAAAGGCATTTGGTAGAAGTAAGAAAATAAAAATAAATTATTTAAAGTCTTAATGTAATGCACATGCTCCCACCCTTTAGTCATAGTAACAATACCCTGCCTTATATCCTCTATACTTTTATTTAATGTCAGTTTCACTTCATACTTCGAAATATGATGATTTAAAAATTAAAGTTGAAGTTGACAACATTTATATTACATTTCTTCTATTTTAGGCAGCTAGTATTGCTTCAAACATATTTGACAAACTGGGCGAACCTGGACATTATACTCTTTTTGCCCCAACTAATGAGGCTTTTGAAAAACTTCCACGTGGTGTTCTGGAAAGAATTATGTCTGATAAAAAAGCAGCTGAAGGTAATTATCAATCCCTGCAAAGCATTTTTTTTAAAGGTATAATTTTAGCATAATTTAAAATAATTCCATCTTCAAGAAATGTGTGTTCTTTTTTTTTAATCATTTAACTAATACTGCCTACTGCTTTTATTAGGGTTACCGTGAATAGTTAAAAAAAAAAACTGGAGGAAAAAAATGGGAACCTTTTTAGAAGGATTATCTAGAAGCATAAGAAGGATTTGAAAAATCTTAAACAAAAATGCAAGTGTATAAGGACCACACTAGTGTAAGGACTCAGTATTCATATGGAGCAGGGGCAAATCATCTCACATTCCATCTTTGAATAAATGCAATGCGTTTGTGCACTTCTCATTTTTTTTTATTTTAGAAAACACATGGACAGTCAGTTAAATTAAAGCAAATAAAGAAATATAAAATTCAGTAAAAATTGTTCTCTTTTTTTGTTTCACAATTTATGTTTTGCTTTTAATCCCCATCAGCTTGCTTTCACTTTCCTAATGAATTATCAAAATGAATAGCAAGAATCTTTTATAAGGAGAGGGGGATTATAATTTCAAAGGTCTCGTATGTTGGCTAACTAATGTTTAAACTGGTCAATGTATTGAATTGGGAGGAAAGATGTTAGAATGAGTGACAGACAACTCATTGAAGTCTCAAAGCTATAGTGCTTGGTATACTCCTTTTTCAAAATAGATTTGTGCAGTCTATAAAGCAATTCTCATAACTTCATTAGTACGAAGTAAATTGAGCCACCTCTTTCTAAAAATTTTCACCAACTGACCATTGCTGTTTAAAAAACATCCAATGTACTGGTTGCTGGTTTCATGACAATTTTTTTCTTGTTTTTTAGCTCTCGTCAAGTACCATATCCTGGACACTGTTCAGTGTTCTGAAGCCATAATGGGAGGTTCCGTTTTAGATAACTTGGAAGGAAGCAGTCTTCAAGTAGGATGTGATGGTGACAGTTTAACAGTGAATGGTAAAAAGATTGTGAATAGGAAAGATATTGTCACAACCAATGGTGTCATTCACTTGATTGATGATGTCCTCATTCCTGATTCTGGTAAGTATTTAAGTATTTAAGTATTAATATGATTCTCTGTGCAGTAGAATTATCAGTCATTTAATGTGTCTTCACTAAATAGAGTTGGCATTATTTAGTAGTCTGTAGTGTTATTCTATAATAATTCTGTGGTTCTGAAATTCAAAACTGAAATGGAGAATATTGTATTTTTATACTTTTGCGTAAAATCTACTGCACAACTAATATTTATTCTGTTTTTGAGAGAAAAAATCAAAATGCCATGAGTAATGAGCAATAAACAATAAAACCGAAGATGCCACTGTTTAAATTATAACAAACTCTACTTTTAATAATTATAACCAATTATTTACACAGAAACATATAACAGTATATAAAGTAATTTAGTATGTAACCTTAAAACCAGGAGACTATCAAGGTTACCATTATTGCTTTTTGTTTGTTATTACAAAGTGACTGTGGTTATCTGATGGAAAATTATTTTATACAATGTTATTTCTAGATATTCTATAGAATCTGAGTTACAGATTTCATATAATTTTTTTTGTAACCACTATCCAGGTAGCAATGGTAATTCTGCTCTGAACCTCTTGAGATGAGCTAAGAAAATATTGATACCATATAATTTCTTAACAGTAATGCAAAATAAAATATATATTTTTTCGTTTAGCCAAACAAGTCCTTGAGCTTGCCGGAAGCCAGCAGACCACTTTCACCGATCTCATGGCTCAGATGGGTCTGGCAGCTGCAATGAGACCAGATGCAGAATATACACTTCTTGCTCCTTTAAACGATGCTTTCTCTGGTATGTATATTTTTACAGTGAGACTCAATATCTATTACACAATAATTTTACTGGAGTTATAATAACAAATGGAACAGCCTATTAGATACACACATACATTCTACATTCTGCTTACAGTATTCACAAGCTGCTTTGGTCCTGGAGTATAGTTTTATTATACTCACCTAGTACAACCCTTGTGGTCTATTAACACAGAACTAACTTTTCAATGAACCTTTGAAGTTATGATGATTGAAAATAATAATTTCACATTGGAGATGTTTTATTTTAGTCAACTTTCCTTATGCATTTTCAAGTTGGTTTTAAAATATGTACAGTTAAAAATGAGGTGGATAAACAACTATATTTTTCCCTAAGTGTATCTAAATAATATAATTTACCAATATGTGTTTCAAAGATAAAAATGCTAAAATGGTAGCTATAAAGCTGTGAGATAGAATAGAAATTGTATAGAAAATATAATTTCACTTAGTGTCATTTTTGTCTTGTACTAACACTAAACTAGGGCAGAACAAAGAACATAGGATAAGCTGAATGAAAGTATATAAACTATTGAAATATCACAATAGATATAGACCACTGCTAACAGTAGGCCCTTACATTATGAGTCCTAAGTGGGTACATCAGTGCTGACAATCAGCTTTATTACTATCAAAATAAGGGTGAAATGATGGCAGCTTTTATCAGGTAATCCTAATCATTAGGAGATCACAGAAATTTCTGCTCATTCATTACTTAGACTGTGTCCTGTGCATAGACTGTAACTGTATAAATCAAAAGACCACCCAAGTGCAGCGATATAATAGGGATAAAGATTAATTACTTCCCTCTGAATCTAGGCTGTAACAAAGGATTCCTCAAATCTTCACAAACAAATATTCAAAACAAGATACACCTAGAAAAAAACAAAAGCAGAGAACATTCATAGGGAAACAATGTTTAGTAGAAATGTCCCTGCTGTAAATATTGCACTCACAGAATAAAAGAGTAATTCAGGCCCATCAAGGTTTCTTTAGATCTTGCAATAAAATTCCTCAAAGGTACATGCAAAAGAAGAAGAACTGGACATAGTGTGAAATCTTAATATTATGAAAAACACATTTTAATTGAAACACTTACAAAAAGTGGAAAATAAGAATGCCCATCAAAGGTCTGTATCCCTCTCTCCAAGGTGGTTAGATGGAAAAAACAGGTAACAGAAATTGCAGGCAAAAATCAACAGAAATTTCTGCTCATTCATTACTTAGACTGTTACCTGTGCATAGACTGCAACTGCAGTTGTCATTCCTATTTTGGGGGGGATGTCCTGGAGGGCTTGATCCATCATTTTTTTGATGGGTTACATATGTAATGTATTAAAAATGTATTTGAAAAGAGTACATTTAAAATCAAAATCTAAAAGGATATTCACATTTAAAATTATTTGCAGCTTGCGCAATGAGCAGTCATCAAAATTTCTTCTTTCATAAACTGTGCATCATGAACATAACAAACGTTCACAGAAGTTGTTGTTCCATTCTTAGTTTTATTCTGTAGAAAGCTTATTGCTGAACAAGAGTTCCCAGAAATCTGAGCTATCATGTACAGCAGTACTTAGGAGCAAAATTAGAAACACTGCAGGTTGGATGGGTGAGGGGAAAAGGTTGTGGTTATTGAGGAAAAGTAATTATTATAAAAAAATAAAAAAGTAATAAAAAATCTGATAAACCTTTAAATAGTCTATATATTGAAGTATTTATGGAGATTTAAAACATTTCTGTCCAGTATACTACATTTTAGCCAAGTTAACCAACAAACTGACATACATTTCAGCAGCTGTTTTTCATTTTTTTACTGGAACTTTTATATTTTAGTCAATAAACATCCAAATGCTGTTGCTTATTTGGTTTTCCAGTTCCCTTCCTCGGAAATAAACACATATTGTTATCCTATTAAACCATCTATTCAAACACAAACTTCTTAACCAGAAAAACGACAGATAAAAACATTGTGTTAATACATTTTTCTTATATGTTTGCAGATGAAACCTTAAAAATGGATCAGCGAGTATTAAAAACGGTTTTGCAGAATCACGTTCTCAAATCAAAATTCATTCTTAGTGAACTTTACAATGGACAGACATTGGAGACACTGGGTGGAAAGCAACTAAGAGTGTTTGTTTACCGTACCGTAAGTAAATACTAAATAGTTGATATAATTAAAAAAAATTCTTATTATTCAGCTTAAATTACCTTGGTCTACAGTAACACAACATACTCTAAATAAAACAACTGACCATGTAACTTAATAGAAATCTAAGTTATATAAATTTAAAAATATATGGTAGCATTATAGTTGGAATACTTTTTAGTGTCAGATTGTAATGAAGTAGTTGTAGGTCATGTACAGATGTAGTGTTAAATGGTGACTTGATAATGAAACACCTTTAGTAAATATTATTGCAGAGGTATTTCTGAACATGTGTATGCATCTATTTAGTGCTAACATTAAACAAAAAAAAATATTTTTGAATGAAACGCAATTACCGTTTTTACTTTCATCTAATGTGCACCATTTTTAAAAAAAATAAAATTTTAAAATTTTTAATGCACAATAGATTCAATGGCGCATTACATTCGGGCAAAATTAGAAATTGTCTGGCCAATTCACAAAGGCGAATTAAAACTGGTGAATTTAAACAGGTGAGTTCACACAGGCGAATTCCATTCCGGCAAATTCACTCGAGCAAATTTCAACCCTTAAAGTGGGCTTAAGAAATAACATGTAACACGAAAATTGAAATACCGTCAATGTTACTATGGTATATGACAATAAACATTTTCATTGTAGCACAAGGTTTTATAGTAGTATATTCTTATATAAACGGGGAATACATTTGCCAGCAAAAAACATTTTTCAGCTTTTAGGTTTAAAAAATCGAGGGGTGCATTAGATTTAATGGAGCATTAGATTTGAGTAATTATGGTATTTATTACTTCTACATTTTTGATGATACATACTCCTCTCATTCAAGGCTGTGTGCATTGAAAATTCATGCATGCTTCGAGGAAGCAAAGAAGGAAGGAATGGAGCAATTCACACATTTAGAAAGATCATTCGTCCAGCAGAGCAGTCCATGTATGATATTTTAAGCCAAGACAGACGCTACAGGTAAACCAGATTTTTTTTTTTTATTGAGGTTTTTGAGCTAATTATTTACAATCGTTTAGACCAAACTTAAATTGTTTGATTTGTAATCAGAAAGGATTACGATCTGTTAGAAAAAAATGTTTCACATGATTTACCTACACAAATTCCCATAGACCTTTGTGGATAAATCATTTGAAACATTGTCATCAGTTCCAATACTGTCAAACAAATTAAATCGAGGCATGCGAGGGGAATATAACTGAAGCCTTGATTTAATTATTTTAGATAAGGTTTTTAAATGAATTGAATCTTGAAGAGTATAGGAATCCGGTGTAGTGCCTGGGAAAGGGGTGAGGTGTGGGAGAAGTGGTCAGTTAGCAAGATGAGCCTGTCGGCAGCATTCATTAATGACTGAAGAGGGGTAATGCAGGTATTTTAAATGAGTAGTGAGTTGCAATAGTCAAGTCAGGAAATCATGAGGGCTTGAACAAGTGCTTTAGATGTATTTTGAGTGTGATAATTGCTCTAAATAAGTTATGTTGGTTGAAAATGTTTAGTTCCTTTTTACTTTTCCTTAATTCCTGTTAATAAAAAAAAAAATAGAAAAAAATGGGGTCATGCACCACTAGCATTGAAGTACACACCGTGGTACTACCACATTTTATTCAAAGGACAGTGTACAAAACACAAACGTTTCGGGCAGTAGCCCATTATTAATAGTAATGTCCTGTTAATACAAGTTTGAAATGTTCTTAAGTGCTGCTATTTTAGCCAAAATTTACAAGTGTACTGGAAGTTAACCACAAATTATTCTGTTATTTAATAAAATGAGAATTCAAAGTGAATTTCAAATGAATGGGCAAAATAGCTGTGGATAACCCTGATTTTGTCGTGAATAAGGCCTGTTATATTAATACCAAAATAACTATACTTTTTGTTCCTGATGAGTCGATAAAATGTATTTATTTTCTGTCTGTTATCCATTATAATTTCTATAATTCTAAGAGTAAATATATATTTAAGGAACCGCCAAATCTGCTCTGTAGATTGAATATTTACCCGGGAATTCATGTATTATCATTAGAATATACTGTGGATTACTAGTTATTGAATAATTTGAAGCTTAAATAAAAATAATTCTGAATCAAACCACTTGTAATAGACCTGAGGTTTACCATAGGTAATCAACAAAATATATATCATAATGGCACATGAAACATGAGAATTGTAGAGGAAAACATTTCTTTTATATTAATCCAAAAATATATATATATATATATAATTTTTTTAATGAAATCTTCAGCTGGAAATAAAACATGTAATTTTAATCTCTTGATCACACAAGTTTAATCTTCTTTTCCTATAACTCAGCTTTATCTGACACCATATGAAACACATGCTGATTAAACCACTTGTTGGCCTTGTGGCTTAAATGTTCACTTATCGTTGTGGTTTTTCAGATGCCTTTGGTAAAAGGCATTATTTTGTGGCTCAGAATATGAAATGGTGTGTAATGCGATAGTGGTTGCTGTGAGATGCACAAAATTACAGTGGTTTTATAGTACTAAATGATGGACTCAGTTGGAGTAATTACATTGAGCTAAGCTAACAGTTAATATGGGATACATTTATAAAATCAGACGAAATTTTGAATTGCATGACCTGTGTTATTTTTCTAACACAGTGAATTCCTGCAGCTCAGATAAATCTATGCACATTAGACAATTTCAATTGAAAATATATAACTAAATTGGCATTTAAGCCATCACGTTTTTATTTTTTTCAGTTTTATTTTTTATGTAACCTATGTATGCCCATCCCAAATATATTTGCTTCTCTTACTTCTTCCTTGAACACTGTTCACTTAATTGTTTATGTCATTCACAAGATTGTGCTACTGAACAAGCATTCAGACTTATTGGAGTATTAGTTACAAACTGTACTATAGTTGTTGGTAGAGGTGGGGGTGGGTGCTTTGGAGGCTATATCCCTAGATATGAGATTCTTTAGCTTCTGATCTCCATAGTTTGAATTTTTAATTTTACATCAGACAGGAGCTTCTCACAGCAGCCACCAATTATAAATAAAACAAATCAGTTGTATTATGACTCTGTCAGGCTCTCCACCGGGGAGGTGATCCCTCATGAATGTAGTTGCTCTAGAAATAGAACTTCATGTGGTCTTACAATCATCTCTGACCCACAACCCCACTATCTTGTCATCCATTTTAATTCAGACATTTATCTCAAGACCAATATTCAAGTCTTTTTCATCTTTATAGCACATCGTCCCACAGTCAATCATTCAATAATTTATCTTTTGAAGTACTATAGAAGTCTAATTAAAATTATAGTACCTACCTAGCACCTACAAAGCTCTCCATAATTGTGCTCAAAGCTATGAATTTTTACAATTTGGCAAGAACACACTATCTTGGGCCTCCCAATCTGCTTACAACTTGCGTTTGCCTTCTGTTATAGAGACTTTACTAAGACTTCCTGTAGCGGAGTGCTAGTCCTAGCAGCGACTCTCCTCCGCTGGTTACTCCAACATACACTCAGGAACAAGTAGAATACTCCAAGGGAACAGCCAAACACAGTAAAATAATCCAGGAATCTCCCACCACCTCCCCAGCAACTGGACAAAACTCAGCTCTGGAGTTATAACTGGTTTTAATGGAGCCACACATGGCCTTTTTGAGAGTCCCCATGGCAGGGGTCTCCAACTACATATTCCAGGGGCATTCCCCACTGGACCTGAAAGTAGACTAAGACAAAGTACACAACATAATTACATTAACTCTCAGGTTACAATATTAATCACCCCAAAATATACATTTCCACACAAGGTACCCCCTTAAGTCCTATATCCCCGGATAGCCTGGATCTAAACACCCAACATACCCGGAAAGCGCTCAGATCCCACGAACGCAGCCGAATCGCCACCAGGGTATAGTTTAGACCGACCACACACGAGGTGTCTGCCCAAAAAGGTTCCATGAAATTAGGCTATGCAGTCAGTCTCTTTCAGGAGTATAAACTAAATGAAAAACCAATACAAAACTGTTCGTGTGTACATTCATTATGTGTATCTTGTTCGGGAGTTTTCTCCTCCCGAACGCCACTCTGTTCGCCTGAATCCACATGAATATAACGGAAGGTGTAAGTCCCAGTGGTGTTCATGCCATCAAGTGTCCGATTTTAGTTCCATACACTCGACGACCAAAAACCGTTGTCCCTGTTCGTATCTTAAGATGGCCGCCGCCACGTGTTCACACATACGAACGGTGGCCACCCAGCAGACTGCTTGGAACGTTCATGTAATTGCAGTTTGTGAAGGTGTGAACAGGGTTTATTGAGGTTAAGAAGCAGCACACTCCACATATGGGTGGCCTGCCATTCGGTACTTTGTTCGGTTGTCAAACAAGTCAGTGGTAGTAGGTCAGGAGAATGGTATTTACCGAACGTCCAGGCGAACAGGGGAAAAACACGATAATCCAATAATGGGGGATCTGTCCCACACAGGGACTACAAGCACAAAACATAGGAGACAACCGAGGGAAAAAGACACGGACAGCCCATAGCAGGAATAAGGGTACTGTCCCAAAGCCCATTCCACTGCACTTCCCTTTTACTATGAGGCTATATATAAAATAATGGATATTGAGACACACAAACCACTAATCCTTGTCAAGTGAATATTTGATTAACCTACTGCATATGTATGTAAACACTTGTGCTCTCGAGTTCAGCATGCCACTAAACGTTAAATAATAAATATGCCTTTTCTTTTTGAATCCAATAGTATTTTCCTAAGTCTTATTGAATATGCTGACTTGAAAGATCTTCTAATGCAAGGTGGAGCTTGGACCCTATTTGCTCCAACCAACGACGCATTTGAAGGACTTAGCAGAGAAGACATTGAAATCTTAAAGAGTGAGTAAAACTGTTACTTTTTGTTATATAGTTTTGATTATCAAAAAATATAGGCAGCATCTTCTCTTCACATGTAACGGGGAAATATTTTCAAGTATTTGAAAATTTGAAAAAATCGGAGTTCAAGGATATTTATTTCTCATTTATTTCACAGGTACTAGAATTCTCCAAATTATATAGTTGATCTACAGTAATGATTATATGTAGGGATTTAGTGCATGAACTTTGCCCTTTAGGATTACAGTATTACAGAATATTATAGAGGTGATCTTGACTCTCACATTAACCAATGAAGTCAATCGAAGAGGCAAAGACTTCCAATATGATTTACTGTTTGATGAAGGTCTAAGATCAGATAGGCATTCATTTAATTTAATGACACAGCTTAAATTTAGCAAGGCAAATTGGAACAACACCATAGCGGATTTAAATATTTTGATTGTACACTAAATTTTGCAAATGTAGCATTTTACTGAAAACTGCTTCATTTTTGCCCTGATAAATATTTAAACAAGAAATTAACAAAACGTACAAATTATATTAACTGTATCCCAGTAGAACATAAAAAATGAAGACAGTAAAAACTGTGATTGTACAAAACTTGTCAATTGTCAATTGTAAAGGCTCCCAAGATATTTCTTTTTTGGGTGGGGGGGTTGAAATGTACTAATAAAATAGTTGGAAATGTTTAAAATACCTAAAAAGTGCATAATGATTATTTTTAATGTAATGCACTTGCAAATGTTTATTTGTAGAAGACAAGGTTGCTCTGCAAAATATTCTCCTCTATCATCTGGCTCCCGGTGTGTTCATCGGAGATGGATTTGAACCTGGCGTAACAAATATTATAAAATCTCTTCAATTAAGTAAATTAATGATCAAAGCGGTAAGCATAACTTTTTATTCATAGTAATTTATGATATCGGTGTAGGAAATAGAGATTCACCACCCGAGAAAAACAACATGTTAAAATTGATTTATTTTTTTTCCCAGGGAAATAATTCAATTTTTGTAAATGACGTTCCAGCTCAGGAGTCTGATCTCATGGCAACTAATGGTGTAATCCACACTGTAAAAAAGCTGCTGTTCCCTGCAGGTTAGTATGGTATAAGGGCAATTTCTTATTTTGATCAACAATAGAGCGGCTGCCCTTTTTTTATAGGATATAATGCAAGAAAAACATCTCCAAGATTTTGTGTGGTTAAACAACTCAAAAATGTCATTTTTTCCTGTAGAGACACTGTTTAGTAAGGTATGACATATAGTCTGAGAGTTCTGTGCTGTATCTTAGCTATCTTAGCTGTTCCTAGAACTGCATTCTTCTGGACAGCATTCTCAGATGTCTTTAATATCTATCTCTCTATTTCAGTCTCTCTCGAAGCGCTAATTTAGAAAAAAAAAATTTCTATATATTTATACACTTTTTTTTAAAATTTGAGGGTGAAGCTCAACACCTTGCTTTTTTTTTATAGTCCCTATATTTCCTTATGAATAACTTTGTGAGCTATGCTCGTTTTGAAAAAAAAAAGAAAAACCAGGCTGCTCAATCACAAGATTATTTGTAAAAAAAATCAATGACATAGCTGCTTTTATATTTTATTTATATATCTTTTTTGTTTCCAGATGCATCTATTGGTAATGAACAACTTCTACAAATTCTCAACAAAGTCATCAAGTACTTCACCATCAGGGTATATTATTTTCGTGTTCTCTTTTATTTTTACTTTTCATACAGAATACTCATAGATCATACAATAGATACATTTAAAAATGAATAATAACAAATTATGCTCATTTAAGGTTACTGTCACCTTTATTTAAAGGTAAAAATAAAACCCATTTGTTGGAAGTTTACATTTAGTTAAAGGGTGTACTATGAGCACCTAAAAATACCATTGTGAAGTGGGGAGGGGAAGGACTTACAATACATAGACAATTACACAGTGGTAGATGAGGACCCTGCTCAAATGAGCTTACAGTCTTACAGTCTTGATGAGGTGGGGTACAAATACACAACAGGGCAGCAAGGGTGACAGCCACTAAACAAGGTGGAAAAGTAGCATTACTGGAGGAGAGAGTGGAGTATGGCTGTTTAGGAGAGCAAGAGACAGACTTGGGTAAGTATAGATAAGTTACTCTGGGAGTAACCAAGAAGGGGCATTTCTATGAATCAGGGAAGAAATATAAGAGGAGCTAGAGTTGGTTAGAGCTTTAAAGGTAAGGGTTAGTTTTTTGAATTGAACCTATATGATACATGAAGCCAGTGTAAGGAGCGAGGCATGGGAGGAACGACAGGTGAGAAAGATCAGCATGGTGGCAGCATTCATTACCGATTGTAGCGGGCCAGTTTGGGGAGACCAACTAGGAGAGAATTACAGTAATCCATGCGGGAGATTACCAGAGCATGAACAAGCTCCTTGGCAGCATTTTGCGTGAGAAAGGGGTGGATGCAGGTGATATTTTAAGGTGGAATCGACATGCTTTAGCAACATACTGGATATGTGGGGCAAAGGTGAGGCAGGGAACAAATATAACACCAAGACAACGAGCCTGCAAGGATGGACTGATGCAAGCACCATCAACTTGCAGGGAGAGCGAAGGAGGAGAATCAGCATTATGAGTGGGAAAAATAAGAAGCTCAGTTTTAGAGTAATTGAATTTCAGAAAGCGGGAGGACATCTAATCAGAAATAGAAGGAAAAAAAAGCAGTGACACATCGCAGGACCGCGGGGGAGGGATCAGGGGAGAAGAGATATATCTGGATGTTGTCAGCATATAGATGGTAGCGGAATCTGAAGGAGTTAATGAGTTTGCCAAGAGAGGCCGTATAAAGAGAGAACAGAAGGGGACCAAGAACAGATCCTTGGGGGATTCCAACTGAGACAGGGCGAGAGGAGGAGGTGTCATTGCAAAAGGAGACACTGAACAAACGTTGGAAGAGATAGGAGGAGAACCACGAGAGGACAGTGTCACAGAGGCTGAGGGATTTAAGAGTTTGGAGAAGGAGGACATGATCAACAGTGTCAAAGGCAGCAGAGAGGTCAAGAAGAATTAGTATGGAGTAGTGGCCTTTGGATTTAGCTGTGATTAGGTAATTTGTAACTTTAATAGGAGCAGTCTCAGTATAGTGGAGGGGGGATTATTTTATTGCCACTCCAGACTAGTGACATTAGTAAATAACCATATTACTTTATAAAGAGAAAATTTCATAGTTTTAATAGTTACATTAAAGAGAACAGACAAGTTGAAACAAATGGAGAAATGCATAAATCTGTTTAAAGATTATACGTTTGTGTTTGTTCTAGTTTGTTCGTGGCAGTTCATTCAAGGAAATTCCCCTCAATCAATATGGTAAGTAAATGTGATTTAATTACAGAAAAAAATGAATAATTTTTAAATTATAATAGTTTAATAAACTTTTCTGCTTTTTTGTTATTTGTCTATATTTTTTGAATGGCTCTAGTTGCATTATTTGAGACTATATTCTCAACTCATTTCCTAAAGTAACTAACAGGCGTTATTAGTCAACTGTTTGTAATTTACCTTAGGGTCTCAGATTATGTTAGCTTCATTCAGTGATATAATTAAAAGATATTTAACCATTTGGTTATTTGATTTAATGCTTCCTTACCTGAATAGGCAGGGCTGTGAACAGTAAGAGATTATGTACAAAGTTAGATAAGTCAAGCAATCATAGCGTTGTTTCTGATTAAGTATTTTGATATTAAGCAGTATGTGCTGAAGTACTCAGCACTAATACACGTTATATATATATTAATTGTATTGTGTTTTGGCCCACCTATTTTACTGTATGGCCAAAATTCTGACACCATAGGATACTACTCTTTATGGCTGCCCTGTCGGCCCTTTGTTTTTACTCAACTTTATAAATCAGGCTCCAGTCAAGCCTTGTACGTCTATGTGAACAACCACTAGTGATCAACTTTCAATGTGGATCTGTGTAATTTTCTTGTCTGTTGATCTAATTCACTGCTTGGAGATAAAAAAAAGCCAGCTGGATTGGAAGGCAGACAAGTTCAGGCAGATACAAATACTGGGCTACTGACAATGACAGGGGTGCAGAATCACTCCCTGGCTCCAAAGGGAAGTGTTGCTATAGGGAGTCACATTTACACTTCTCTTTCAATATTTAAGATTGTTATTTTTAAGCATGTTATAGATCACTAGTAATTTAGATCTAGAGATACCCCAAAGACATCCCCCATATAGGCTACTGTAAATAAAATCAGCTTTATTGTAGAAGACTCAGGATTTCAAACAAGATTAAGAGAATATGAACATGACTATGTTTCATATGGGATTTTGTAAGAAGTTACTCAAAATTCTCTGATTCTTTGGTTGGAAACAGCAGATTAAGACACATTATCATATATTTTCTGAAGGAAAATGAAAAACATATATATGAAACTAATACTTCTATCCTTTTTTTTTGTTATGAAAAATGTAATATAGCAAATTTAATTTCCAAGCTTCTTACAGTGATGCACATTGTATTCAGTATTTCATATTTATTTGTGAATTGTTTACTCTCAACCATATTTCACTGTGTAAACTAATTCCTTATTATTTGCCGATTTAGTAAAGTATTATTACTTATTTTTTTATATTTTTATTTCAGTTACAAAACTCCGAGTCAGCAAAGGTAAGATTTAGTTGTTTTAACCCCTGCTTTGGTACAAAAGTACAAACTAGGCTTGCTTTCCCCCAAAGAAGAACGCAAAAATACAGACTGCATATATATATATACCAGAATCATCACATCTTGCTAGTAAAATAAATTTTTTACTGTGTAATAAGATATATCGCTGCATGGTAACAATGCATATTTTAATGATAAAGTTCATGTGGAATTATGTTTAAAGATGAAGAAGACAGTATAATAAATTAACGGATTACTCCAAGCATAATGGATAGTCAAGCTATTTAACAAGCTTGTCTTGTCATGATACATTGTTTTTCCTCTATGGATTTACGCAAGTCACTTTACGGAGCAGCAATAAGGGGTTGCTTAATGACTTCATGATTAATATACAGAAGTAACTCTTCAGAAGGAAAGTTATGTTTTGTATTTTTTTAGGATTTAGTTTGAAACCAAAATGGCTTGTCGAGTTCGTAATTCTAACAGACAAAAAGCACTAAAAAAGATTAATGCGTGTCTGCAGATGTAGCATGACTTATGACATTACTTATGGTTAGGAAAGTCCTTTCATTGTCCTCTTGAAGAATAGCAGCATTTATTAAATTCCACGGCTGTTGGATTGTCCCACGGTTCCATGGGGCCCTGATTCAGGGATTACAAGTAGAAAGCACACACTGTGTTCATTTAAATCAGTTCCTTTCTATAAACAGTATTTTGAAAGTTAAATCTCCTGATATATTCAAGGTTATTCTACTTAACATGTAATTTCTAAAAGCTTTTAATGCAATTGAAATGATTATTCATCTTTGAAACAAAAAAGTAAATGCAAGCAAGACATGATTGAAAATGCTGATAAGTGACAAGGAGGCTTAGATGTGATAGGACAGCAGGGGCGTTGCTATGTCTGAAAAATACCTGCAACTTGAGCCCAGTGCACACCTCCCTCTAGGTCCTTCCATGGCCTCTTACAAGCACCACCATTAATCTATGCAGACTTTTTTTTCACCCCTCAGATTTTGTTTCCTAAAAGAGCATAGGTATTATATTAAAAAAAAATTTTTTTTAAACTAATAAACTAGCCAGCCCTTCCAGTGTCATCACCATTATTCACGATACATTTAATAAAATAATACATATGAATTAGTAATATAGCAGCAATGCCAGGAGATTCTCAGCATGTGTAGAATACATTAGAAACAAACTCTTGCACAATGTTATATAAATGCTATTGTATTCAATTTACAATATGTTAATATAAATGTCATTATATTCAATTTACATGATGTTATAAAAATGTAACATTATTATTATTTTTTTTTTATTGTCTGAAGGTCCCTCAATCACTAAAGTAATTGGAGGTGAAACTGTTCGCAAAGTTATTCAAGGTATGCACACATAAATATACAATAAAACAGAATTCCAAAAGATATTTAGAATTAAAGAACCACTATAGTATCAGGAAAACAAACTCGTCTGATACAAACTAGTCCTTTAACAGTTGCCTTATATATTTCACTAGTTTGGTAAATGTTCCTGTCCTGTGTGTAAGAAAGAAAGAGAGAAGAAGAGAGAGTGTATGAGAGAGAGAGAGAGAGAGATATGAATTTCATTGTTTGAGGTATTAGTTGTATTTTATAGATAGAATAATAGAGATAGTGTGTGCAAGAGAGAGTGTATCAAAGAGATAGTGTGAAAGCTAAATTTCACTAATATTACTAATATTACTGATTTGTGTTTTAGAATTTTTCACACTAATGTGTTTTACAATGGTTTTGTTTTTTGCTTAAAATGCCTGCAACAATTTAGAAAAGTTAGGAAACTGCTTGTCCTTTAAAATGATTAATCCAAGCATCATGATGGCTCAAGCCTGCTGTGCTGCTTATGATACTAGGGGTACACTGGCCCTGTTTCCCAGTAATGGGGCAAAGGTTGTCCCCTAACCTGGGTCCCTACTGGGCACTGAGTGTGCTCTATAGCCAGTGACATACCTCTGGCTTCTGCATAGCTGCAGAAGCTTGATGTTGATCCTGACAGCCATTCATTGGCTGAGAGTATGAGCTGCTCACTCTCAACCAATGAATGCAACTCTGTGCATAGGAATATGCACAGAAATGACATTAGCCATCAAGAAACTCTTTTTCCAAGCTGGCTAATGATGCTCCAATGACAATACAGGAGGTGGAGTTAAACCTCCAGCAGCAAAATGGCTAAACTGAAAGAAGTGCAGAGTTTTGTAGTGAAAAGCAGCACTTCAGATCACTGAAGTGGTAATGGTACTAGGCATAACCTTTGGCTGTAAAGAATGTAATATGCAACACTGGATCATTTCAGACGAGTAACTTTAAACTAAGGAGGAAAATGACAATGTTAAAAAAAAGTTACACGTTCTTTTACATGGTTTTTATGTGGCTCTACCGATTATTGTCATGTACAAGAAAATAAACATGAATTGGAATATTGGAGAGTTGTTATTAATTTCAGGAAAAATCATGGGGGATATTCCAAACTTTTCTTTTTCAGTTTTTGGCAGAAATATGTTAATTATTTCTAACTTAGGCCTTTTAACATTTTTGCATATGTTTTTTAAATGATTTACTATTTTGGCATCTGATTTTAAAATACTTTTTTTCTCAAAATATTAAAATATAAAAAACGTATCAATATATAAAAAAAATTATCTATATATATTGTGATTTTTGTGGGAAAAACAAGTCTTATGGCTTGACTGGTGTGCAGATCTTTATCTTTGTATTGATTATATATATACTATACATATATTCAATACAATGTTAAAGATCTGCACACCAGTCAAGCCATAAGACTTGCTTTTCCCACAAAGGATTCTGGGTGGGCATATGCAAATGAGTTTAAAAAAAATCACATTTTTGCCTCATTCCATTTTAAACATGGATTCCTTTGAGTCTGTGTTTGCTGTATACAACAGCTTTGAAACACAACTTAGTAAAAAGATGCAAAGCCAGTGAACCACTCATGGTCAGCTTTTTTGTTGTTAATGCAAATCATCAGTATGAGGTTGGTTACTGGCTTCGCAGCTAAACTGACCCACCCTCTTTTTTGCTCAAGACTGACTTGCTTGTTCTCTCCTTGCTCATGCTGGGCAGTGCGCAATCAAATACATCTATTAGACAAACATTGTGGACTCAGTGATCTCTTTTAGAAGCTATAAAAGCATACATGGAAATGGACATTAATAAAACTTAAATTATGTAACACAATTAAATACACTCTGTATACTGAGTGAATTATAGAATAGGTACTTAATGAACATTTTTTTTCAGTGGGTAGGGATGCCATGTGTGTCCCTGTCAGGTGTGTGTGACTAAGGCTTCAGAAATAAATTGAATTAACCCCCAAAATGCCTGGACTGTAACTGCTTCATCTCATTGAAAGTGTTATAGTGTCTAGGGTCCTTTTATGTAGTCTTTCTATTCTGCATTGTTTATTTATTTTTTCTAAATCAGAGCTTTCAGCAGCCCTTAACTTATGTTCTGCTTGGGCTAATAATGGCAATTAGCATTGGAGGCTGTGATTGGCTTGGAGTGTCACCTAATTGTTTTTAGCCTATCACAGCTCCCATTGCTGGTATGAATTGATATGGCTAGAAGGAAGTGTGCGATCTCTGCCTTAGCAAGACCTTCAGTAAGGGCCATGCTGTGGGTGGCCTGGGACCCTTATTTAGTGTTTAACTGATGGAAAATGGTATAACACTGAATGGAGAGACAGTGCCAGAGGACTCCAAGCACCATAACAAAGTCAATGAGAATCTAGTGTATTTGTAAAGTAGAATGTGAGTCTCCAAAGACACTTAAGTTTGTGACTGGAACTATTACTGATCAAAAAATGTGGATAGCAGCCAATAACCAAGTAAAATCCTGTTTCTTTACAATTCCTTTAAATTTTCTCCTGGAAGAGTAAACATAACTAAAAATTTATGTATATTGTTACATTACATAAGGAGGCACTTTGACTGAGGAACTTGATGCATCTGAGATTAAAATCACAGGTATTCTTAAAACCGGGAATGTCTTGACTTAAACCACAAAGAGCACCCACAAATGTCACCACCATTGCTGATAGTTCACGGACTGATAATCTGATCAAAGTTCACCTGGCTGCTGAGTTTGATAAAACTAAGCCTGACTTTGATTGCTATTGATTGCATGAAATATTGATTATCCATAAGAGGCATGTCCATATGTATCACATTGAACATGTTCACACTTTTCTCTTCTTCACAAATATGCTTGCATCTTGTGCACAACTTGCAAAAGAATATATTTTCTGATACTTGCAAAATATATATCAATTATATACATTATGTAATTATGTTGTTAACTACAGGTGAGTATGTAACTTGAATGTTATTTCTTATATATAAGCTCTGCCTATTATTTATAATACATCTTTGCTATACACCAAGCTTTCACTTGCTTTGCTTTTGAACTTCGAGTCACCATGTCACAATTCTTGAAATGCTAACATGTTGTTTGGTTCATAAAGATGATTAAAATAGATTTTGACAAATTTGTAGTGAAGAACATAGCTTTGTTAACAAATCCAATCGATTGACAAATAACAAATTCCTATCAAATGTCTAGACTCTGTTTTTTATTAAGACTTGTCCGAGACTACAGACACAGACATAGTTCTCAAACCACTTTTTATATTCCTCGTGTTGGTTATTTGATAACTTACTAAATTGAGAAAATAAGAACAAGTTACACATCAAAGTTGATCGATATATGTATTTGCCTCTTTTTCTGTTAACATTTAATTTGATGTTTAAAGTTTCACCCCATATGCCAATCCAAGATGGTTAGGAGGGTGAGTCCCAAGTCTAGTAATTAGGTTCCATGAGAAGAGGGATATTTACTTTTGATGTTGCAGACTTCTCTCTTGGCACTTCTACAGTTGTAACTGAAGAATTCTAAAGTTATGTCATACCCTGCATCTTACTATCTTACAACTAGCTCAGAGAGTAAAAGAGAACTTAAAGCATGGATCGTCCACCTCTAAATTTTAGAACTAGTAAAGAAGCATGCAGTTGGTGGAGTTGTTCTGCAACTTACCTACCAGTGTTACCACCAAAGCTACCTTGCATGAAATATGCTTGAGATGAATGAATATAAGTTCCCTTTCAGCAATATGTATCTATGTTGTTTGTGTGAATAATAGTCCAACATCTTCTTGTATTACTCATTCACACATAGTAGTTTAATTTTAATTGACTTGTGTAATATTCTTCCCGTCCCATAATTTTAGAGCCAACCATTACCAAAGTGACAAAAATAGTTCAAGAACCAGAAGTCAAAGTGATTCAGGGAGGAGAGACAAGAATTACCAAAGTAATCCAAGGTATGTTTCTCTAAATTTGCACATTTCAGGTAACTGTGTATATTCACAATTAAATCTTGCACACAATATTTTATATATAGTTCAATGAAAGACTAGATCAGGGGTAGGCAACCGTTGGCACTCCAGATGTTCTGGACTTCATCTCCCATAATAATCTTACAGTCATATTACTGGCAAATCATCAGGGGGTTGTGACAGTAGTCACAACATCTGGAGTGCTGAAGGTTGTCTTCCCCTGTATTAGATGTACATTCTGTAACATGAATAGGTTGAATTGTATAATGAGACTCCATGTATTATTTGCAATTCCAGCTGGGTGCTTTTTCATTAAATATCAGAGCAAGGAGTGTGTTTTATGTTTATTAGCTTAATATTAAGATATTATTAGGATTTTCTTATAATGTAAAAACAATTAATAATTGTTTCATTGAAACAAGTTCTCAGCTGTCCTATCTCTAAATACAGTCACATCTATATACTTGTAAACCAAGATTAATGATTGGCTTGAAGTATCCTCTAATTTTCATATTACTTATTTACATCACCCATTTGGGGTGGAGATCTGTTCTTGTTTGGGGAGATATACGTGTTGGAAATAGACTGAAAGGAACATTAAATACCCAAAGCCGATAGAGTTAATGATTTGTAAAGTGGGTAGAGCTACGTGCTGCACCTCTCATTATGAAAAGGGTGGTACTTCACTGCAGCCTTTCTGGTCAGTGAGCAAAGTAGATTTAAAAATTGTTTTATTTAATATTTGAATTTGCAATATTTTTCAAGCCAATTTGGTATATATTAATTAGAGTAAGAATAATACATTGATAGTGTCATGTTTTATCTGTTTGCACTAAATAACTTACTAGCATGTTTATAAAGACTATTTTTATTAAAGAAAGCATATTGGGGTTATTCATTAAATACTGAACTGAAAAATAATTTGAGAACATATATACTGTTGTTGAGTTGGGACAAAGTGTTACGTTTTTGCATCAGTTTTGCAACTTATCTTGAAGTGCAATGTTGTTGTTGGCGAAACAAAATCTTAATTTAATTGTGAATCATTTTGTGTATTAACCTTTATAAAAATATAGAATGTTTAGATAATTTAAGCATTTTTGCATCACATCTAGCTTTGTATTGTGTTTACCCTTCAAGACTTTTTTTTAGCCTTTTGCAAATACCTATCCTTCATTTCCAATTCTACTGAACTGAAAGCCTTTTGAATACAATACTTAGGCTTGTCCCTTACTTCATAATTTTCTTGTACTTTTTTACAATAAAATTTACCAGAACCCACAATAACTAAGGTCACTAGAGTGATTGAAGGTGAGCCAGATTTTAAACTGATAAAGGAAGGCGAGACGCAAGTGACTAGAATCATCCAAGGAGGTAAAGTAGACAGTAGCTGGATTCAATCTTTTTTTATTCTGATATTGAGCCCAGTGACCTTATATTTTAAAAACATTTTAGAAAACAGTATCTAAGCTATCTGTCAAATTAGAGAATTCCTACATTTTCTATAAAATTAATTACATAAATATGTATTTATTTTATAAGTTTTCATATGCTTATTAATATTAATATTGTATTGTATTCTTTCTTTGAATTAATAATGCTTTCATTACTCACAAAATCATTAAATCCAAAATTTATACCCAAGAAAAATATAAAAGATGAAAATTCCTTCCTCTTCACAATTTTTTTTTTTACACTCAAATTTGTCAGATCCCACACTAACTAAGATCACTAGAGTGATTGAAGGTGACCAAGATTTTAAACTGATAAAGGAGGGTGGAACTCAAGTGACTAAAGTCATCCAAGGTAAAAAAAAAAATTGGATTTTTAAATTATTTTGAATTGTTTGGTATTAGTATCTTAAAAGTAAAGAATTCGCCAAATTGTTTGCTTTTAATGTCCTTATATACTCATTTGCAATATGGTTTGTAAAACTGTACTGGTTTTACAATATATTTAACATTACTAATTTTAATTAAATTATTTATTTTATTACGGTATAATCTGTTTTTTGTTTCAATAATGAAGAAACAAAACTCCTTGCTTTATAAGACAAGGTATATTGTGGCAATCAGTATAGCAAATATAATTTGAGGGGAAATAAACACATTTTGTAAAACATTTTGTAAACATTTTTTTTTCTTGTCTTCAAGGCCCTGAAGTAAAAGTTACTCGCATTTCTGGAGTTGGAGGTGACATCGATGAGGCTACACTGAAAAGAATGCTTGAAGAAGGTTAGTACTGTACTTAAAATTACTTGATTTGTTATACCGTACAATTACAGATTCCACATATTTCTGCTCATCTTGTAGAGAGTGACTGAATGTCTGGGCAGAAGTGGATCAGTAAATGGATATGTGGCAAATATTTCTGCTTTTAATAGAGTATATCTTAAATAATAGTTATGTCTTGAAAATAATCTACCAGGAATACATGTCAGAATGAATATAGTTTGTATGTATCCCTAAAGAATGCATAATTGATCATAGTCAGTTAAATGCAGTTTGAATATTGTGACTATGATCTATTAACATTCTAACTGATAATTCTAGAAATGTTAACTTTAGAAATAAATAGTATGGTACAGTATACACAATGTATACTATGTTAATTAATATTATGCAAATGTCACTTTGCATAGCATCCAAATATATAAAATATATATTTGAGCTCATTTGCTTCTGTTGTATGTGATTTTGTCAATTGCAGTGATTACTTTACAAATGGAAATTACATAGAAAAGACCACAAACCAGGATAAATCCCCAAAATGATGAGTTAAATAAAAATAAAATAGATTATCCAAAGTAGGCAGAGTTATAACCAAGCTATAGAGTTCAAGCATTATCTAAATATTTAGTACTCTCTGTAAATACTAAGCTCAGATTCTGAAAAAAAATGCCATTACAATTCATGGTAAAAGTGACAGTTAATTGATAGTAAGATAAAGCAATATTGGTAAGACAATATGTGTTAAAGAAAAGAGTCATCTCATGATAGTCCAATTCTATTATTAATTCCAACATATAAATCATTTTTCTTTTTATAAGTAACTTACAGTATTCATGTGCTATAAAAATATTGTGCCGTTGTGTTAAAGGAACACTATAGGGTCAGGAACACAAACATATATTCCTGACCCTATAGTGTTTAAAACATTATTTAGCCTCCTGGCCCCCTTGTCTCAATTAAAAATGGTTAAAACCATCTTCATTCCAGCGCCACCGGTGTCCGCCGGCACTGGCTCTGCCCCCATTTTACCTCCTTGGCTGACATCACCAGATTTGATGATCTCAGCCAATCCAATGCCTACCCATTGGAAACTTCTCAGGCACCAGTAAAGTATGGGACGGCTTGGGGACCGGGTAGGATCCGCATAATACAGAGAGACTAAATATAGATGCAGGATGTTTTTATCCCATCCAGGTGAAAACTGGTGTTTGAACCGAATGGAAATGGAAGATTTATAAATAGAGTTGGTTTCCCATTGCAGGTCAAAGCAAATAATTAATTTTGTAATCATTCAAAGTGTATTATGTATGCTGTGGGTGCTCAATTCTCTGGTTCATGATAACCATTACAATTGTTACATATCTAAACATTGATGACATAAAAATGTGTCCTATCAGAAGTTACCAGAGTATCCAAGTTCATTGAAGGTGATTCACAATTACTTGACGATGACGAGCTGAAAAGGCTTCTCCAGGGAGGTTAGTGAGTGCAACTGACCGTCAACTACTATCTTATAACAAGGTGTCGGTGGTGGAAATCTCTCTGGTGTTATGGCTTGTTTTTAAAGACTAAGATTTGTTTTCATAACTAATAGTTAATTGGAAAAAAAAAAGAGTTATAATTCAACAATTAGGCTGCAAAACTAAACGAAAGAAAATATAAACATGACAGACATAATTAGTCTTTAAAAAAAAAAACTAACAATACTGCTATGGGGCAATGAGCATTTGTTTACACCTTTTTTTAAAAGATGATCTGCTCACTAATTACCAAAATGTTTTAAATTAATTATAAAACAAATATTCATTCCCCCTATTAACTGCAAATGGCATGTTACTGGTCTCTGAATATCTTCTGGCATTTACATTTTACAGATTCAATTAATTATTGCAATTACATATTGTAAACTCTCTTTATTTTTTTCTCCTAACAAATGATTAGCAACTAATAAACTTAATAATCAAATGTTTTGTACTCAAATAACATATTAATGTTGTTTTCTGGAATATAAATCCCTCAAGTAATTTTGTAAACTTAAAATGTGTTTTTTTTCAGGATTCATTGATTTAATGTGTTTGTAAAATTCTGAACAAACAATGTGTATTGACTGAGTTTTTATGTACAAAATACATAAATAAATGTAAAAAATGTGAAAGTTTATAACAATAATATAACCACACCTTCACCAGCAATACAAAATACTGAGAAAGTGCATAACAACAATATAAGCACACTTTCACCAGCTTGCAAAACAATGACTTAAGATAAATAGTATGGCTTCTCCTGAGACCGTCATTTATATAAGGCAGTCAAATACGGCCAAAGATTACCCATGGTGGGTTCTATAATATAGATATTAAATACAGTTGACAACTTAAGAGAAATAATGAGGAGTAAAACATGGTAGTAGGGATTACTTTGAGTCTGCAAGATGCTAAAGGCAGGAGACAGTCACATACTGCCGATGAGTCCACATGGTGGGATAAAGGAAACCATATCAAACATCCTGTGATCTTCGTGGTGTGGTTAGATAAGAAGATTCTGTAGTAATGTGTTAAAAGTATACAATGACATAAGATAACAGTATGTTTATTTTAAAATAAAACATCCGTAGGAATCCCTAGGAAGAGGAGATGATACAGTGGTGTTATTTTAAGGATTTAAAAACATTCCATGAAAAATATAGTATTGTTTTAATTGGTTGTAAATTATGGAATGGTACACACATATATCTATTATATTTGAAGAAGGGTCGTTTTACAGTTGTGTGTAACTGTTAAATAAAAAATAAAAAAGAGTGTTCTGTGCCTCTTCTCTGAGTCATTCTTTTTTGTTCCAGGTTCCGAAATCTCCAAAGTCACAACAATAGTTGAAGGTAAGCCATCAGAAACAGTACTAATCTAAAAGACCTTAAAAGGCTAATGACATATTTATGTTACTAACTAAAAACAACCCTATATATTTGTATGTATTGTGTTGGGTAGATATTATGTGTTTATGTGTTTGTTCTTCTTGTTTAGAGCCACAAGTTAGAAGGGTACAGACTAGCAGAAGGATACAAGGTAAACTTTTCAGAAATCGTGAAATTTCTTCAACATTTCTAAAATTGTTAATTAAAAAAAGCATAAATAGTGAAAAAGGATTACTAACATAAATCAGATTAAAAACTTAGTTTTTTGAATTAACATTACGAAAATAATTGGCCAATTTTCTTTATGATTTTTTTACCTCATTATTATTATTAGCATTTATATAGCACAAACATATCGTGTCGCGCTTTACAATTATAAAATGTGGATATTTGACAAGTCATCTCCATACAGAATATATTAAGACAGGTGGTGAAGAAGGCCCTGAAGCAAAATAAAAGTTATAATAAAATGTATTTACTAATGAGAATAGTTCTGCTGCCAATTTATATGCAGGTGGTCGGATTGTTTATGTGAGCTGTTGTTTTGGAGTACTCCACAAACTCAGTTCTTCACCTGTGTGTACTAACCTCTCTAGCATAAAGATAGAGCAAAATTGAACCCCTTAAGGACACATGACATGTGTGACATGTCATGGTTCCCTTTTATGCCAGAGGTTTGGTCCTTAAGGGGTTAAATTCAAATGACATCAAGAAATTATTAAGTAGATCAGAATTTAAATACATTTCAAAAGATAATTTGAACAACTTCATTCTTGGGATTTTTAGACTTTTAAATCTTTTAAATCAAAACTAAAATCTAAGAGAAAGTCGTAGTTGGGTAGCATTCATAGGCATCTTAAACCTAAGGGGATGAAGCAAGAAGTTATTGGCATCTTGACTGTTATTGTAGGCTTTATGTCCATCCACAAATACAAATTGTTGGTTTAAACTCTTTGCCTGATGGCAGATCAATATTTTTAGATGCTTTTTCTCTACAGGTGGTCAGGTCAAGACCTCAGGATCTCTACAAAATGTGTTGACCCTATACAAATAATAAAACTTGTCAAGCGCAGTATTTTACAATCTCCAGACAATTCATGTGTTTTTGTTTGTTAATAACTTTGCAGTAAATCAAAAATTTAGATACAATATTTTTACTTTTCATCGTCCAGTTTTGCATGCAAATCAATTATGCAGCATTTTGCTTCACAGCGCATGACTAACTAATACGTTGGGAAAAAAAGCACAATTTAGGTACTGATTTAGCGCTTAACCAAGCTAATTAAACTTGATGGTATCCATAAAAAAAAATGCTATGCAATGGAAACTGAACTTTTCTTTCTACATTTTAGACTAATTCGTTTTTACAGCGTAACTTCTTGACCATACTGCAGTAAGGTAGAGCTTTGCTAATGAAATGCATATGCACTAACAGCATGCTTATTTGAAAAGAAACTGACTGGGCATTACTACACAATGTACAGATACTTAAAATGTAAATTTCCATAACAGTCTATCTATAAATAAATATTTAGATTAACCCCTTCACTGTCAAATCTTAGCATAACATTTATTTGAAACATGTGTTGTATAGCTAGCACATAAATATATAATGTAAATGTGTGTATATTTTATTTGTTATTTATACATCCAACCGTTTTAGAAATATTGGTTGAATGAAAAGCTGAACCACGACAACATCTACACCAGATTGGTGCAACTATGCCTGAAATAGTTAAGATACATTTTCAGAGTCTGGTATGCAGGAAACGTATATCATAATAATATATTTTACTCTGCTAAGAGAATCCAGTCCTAAATAGGTGGAAATATTTCCTAGACAAACTGATAATCACTTATGGAATATAAATGTTGGTAATTAAGACTTCATGGACTAAATTACGTTTTGAAAGCAAATAATAGTAAAAATATGTACGCACAATTTTGGTAGTTAAGGGGTTAAAAACATTGACAAAATACCAATTTCATCTAACTTAAATATTTTTACAATTCTTTTATCGTGACTTGTATTTTTGGATTGATACTTGATCTTTGGGTATGGATCTCATTATTTAATGACGATAATGTCTGCATGTTATACTTTGTTATGTTGGATGACAAAATAACCTTTTTATTATTTATGGTGATGGATTTAGCTGTTTTAATGTTGAGGAACCACAAATGGACTTGTATCCAGAACATAAATGATTGTATTTTTGATTTTGAGTATGTATTTCTACCTTCTATAGGTCAACCCGTAAGAAGAAAGCTGAAGAGAAGCCATAAGTTATAACTCCATTAACAACAGAAACTGTGCCGAAAAATGGAACATCTGCTTGAAGAGTAATACTGAAACAGTGTGCTCTCATGGAATAGGGGTTTTATGGTTTATATGACATCTTGCACAAATTGTGTCTTTATTTGAGAAAAACATCATACTGATGTCCAGAAAATAAAATTTGAATAAAGGAGGGTGGTATGTATGAAATATCAAAAACACATAAATTGCTGAATGTATCTTCAAAATTTAGATAATTTCCATAATATATAACCCTCTCTAGCAAATAATGTGCCATAAAATGCTAATTATTTTAAAGTCAAATCTAAAAGCTCAAGGATTTATAAAAGCAAAACAAAGATATTTTAGAGATACGGCTATTCCACATTAGTCGTAGAAAAGAAAACGCTATACTTCATAAAATGACTCTTAAAATTTTCTAAACTTGTTTGAAATGTCTTTAAATGACAGAAGGTGTTAATTTGTTATCATTCCTACCGCTACTCAGTTTGTAAGGGTAGCATAGTTTCTTACAAAATGAATAATAAAGAAAATATACCACTATTAGTGCTTAGAATTGGAGCCTTTTCAAAAGTAAAAAAAAGTAAAAAAAAAAGAAATGAAAAAAAAAAAAGGAACTGCTATACAAATTGTTGATACTAACTCAAGTGGGTTTTATTTGTAAATGATGTCATTTTTTTATAACATAAAATTATAGAGTCATTTGCTTAACTTTTTTTTTTTTTTTGGTTCACATATGTTGCAATGCAACAACAATGTATGCTAGGGAGGAAATGTTTACCTTATGTCCCTGTGCCTTTTTCCTTAAAGGCTTTAAAAATCTGTTGGGTGTGCCTGTATACCTCTGTTTCTTAAACGAATACTCAATAAAGAATGTGGTTGAATTATATACTATTCTTTGTGTTTTTTTTAGTAACATTACTATTTGCATATATTAATATATTTTATATTTATATATTTGTATTATACCAGAAGGTTATTATTCAGAGCAATCTCTGTGATCTTCCGTAACAACCTTTACTATCTTCCGTGTATTTCACAAACATTTTCTTTATATTTTGTATTTCTACTTTCTTCATTTTACATGGTCTTCCAGGGTGTTATGAGATACACGTCAATAAAAGTGACAACTTAACCAACGTTAAAGGGAAACTTTTCTGGATATTACATCTTACATCGAACAATACAAAGAAATTGTGCTAAACTTTTTTATGTGATGTTCCATTTTCTTTTAAATGTATAGTAAAGATTTAACAAATAAAATTACAATCCAGTTCAATCAGGGCACCTTAATCACTGGGAAAGAGAAACAGAAAAAAATAATGGAGATTTACAGGATTGTGCTATTCTAGAAACTGGTCTAGAGCACTAATAGTAAGACAATAACAATGGAATCCAGTAGAACCAGTGAACAAAATCCATTGGTGACTCCTCACCCTTTAACCCTTTACATTTATTTGCAACAATTTTTAGAACAGAACACTTTGATAAATCTTGGTAAATATGATGGATAAATAAACCTGATATTAGAAGAGACACCATAGTCACCAAAACCACTTTAGCTTAATTAAGCCGTTTTGGTTTATAGATCATGCACCTGCAGTCTCACTGCTCAATACTCTGCCATTTAGGAGTTAAATTACTTTGTCCATGCAGCCCTAGTCACACCTTCCCTGCATGTGACTGACAAAACCTTCATAAACACTTCCTGTAAAGAGTAATTTAATGTTTGCACTACCTTTATTGCAAATTCTGTTTAATTTAGAATCTGCTCTGTTAATAGCTTACTAGATCCAGCAGGAGAGAAAAACTTTGAAACAAAGTTACTGATTGAAAGTGATTAAAAATGAAACTGTTTTGTTTCCATGCAGGCTGTGTCAGTCACAGCCAGGGGAGGTGTGGCTAGGGCTGCATAAACAGAAACAAATGTAATTTAACTCCTAAATGGCTGAGAATTGTGCAATGAAACTTTAGAGGCATGATCTATACACACAAACTGGTTCATTAAGCTAAACTTGTTTTGGTGACTGTAGTGTCTCTTTAACCCCTTAGTGACCAAACTGTTTATCAATTTTCTTACCGGACTAGGGCTGTTTTTACATTTCAGCCGTGTTTGTGTTTAGATGTAATTTTTCTCTTACGCATTTACTGTACCCACACATATTATATACAGTTGTTCTCGCCATTAAATTGTCTTTCTAAAGATACCATTATTTTCATCATATCATATATTTTTACTATAGGATTGTTTTTTATATAATCTGATGACAAAATAAAAAAAATGAATTTTTTCTTACTTTGACACCCAAATCTTACACATCTACAACTGCCAAAAAGCAAATAAATAGTTTCTAAATTTTGTCCTGAGTTTAGAAATACCCAATGTTAACATGTTATTAGCTTTTTATAGTTATAGGGCTATAAGTACAAGTAGGACATTGCTGTTTCAAAATATATATTTTTAAAATGTATCAATAGTGACATTGTAACACTGTTATCTGTCATAAATCTCTGAATCACACCTCACATGTACATATTTTTTTTTAAAGTAGACATAAAATGCCAGGGTATTCAATATGGGGTATGTCCAGTCTTTTTTAGAAGCCACTTAGTTACAAACACTGGCCAAAGTTAGCATTTATATTTGAGTGTTAAAAATGCAAAAAACAATTATGAACGCTAATTTTGGCCAGTGTTTGTGACTAAGTGACTACTAAAAAAGACTGAAATTATTTATGTAATTATGTATATGGATATATATATTTCCTGGCCATATCCATGGCAGCACAGCAATGGGTAGCTCCTCCAAATCCATAATTAGACAGGAACCTATAAAAAAGAATGGTGTAAATACCCCCTCCTCCCTCTCCCTTCCTCAGTCTTTTTGATCATTTAGGTTTTTCTTTTTGACTTACCTGAGGGTTGTTATCCTCTGCCCCAAAGGGAGTTCAGCCTCTTTTTCTTGGTAAGCTTCAGTATATGGCCCTGTGCAAAGGTGTCCCCATGAAGATATCCCCTTTAGTGACCAGGGGAGAACTTGTAGTGACCCTAGGGGTAGCAAGTATAGTTTGCCATTTTCCCTCCATTCTGTAGTGACCCTAGGGGTAGCAGGTTTGGGCAAACACCCCCTCCTACATCAATTTAAAGGTGTGTGCATATGGACATTTTAATTTTTATATTTTTAATTTTAATTTTATTTTTTACAAATTACATTTTTAATTTATTTTTAATTTTTTGAACTTTTTTAGTACCTGATTGATTCTGCTGCAACTTATCTCTCTGCCCTTCTATAAGGCAGTTTGATCATGCCCCTCCATATTTGCGGCATTTTCACAACGTTTTTTGAACAATCTCTAGGTCCCAGGGCTTTTGTGGGCACCATCTTTGTCGGCGTTTGGCATTCGCTACTGAGACGGAGATTGCAGCAGGACATTTTTAGCGCATGCGCAGAACTACAGATACTAAGTGCAGAAATGCTGTGTAGGATACAAGCTCTATGAGCATTGTCATATACAGCTATGTTTTATAACTACTGCAGTTATGTTTTGTAGTATTCAAGGAAAACAAATTAAGGTTTGAGTCTAGAAAAATTTGTTAACATCCATTCTATTCATGGTTACCAAGCCAATTTGCCTCATAGAGTTGCTGAGTTTATATTACTGTTATCTTTATGAGACAAGTGGAGTATTTCATGCTGTCAGTTTGCTCTCATTTCCTACTGAAAGTGCTAAGAGTCTGGGCAACAATACAAGTACCTGGAAGGAGTTTATTCTCTGTTGTGTCACCATTTGCTGGGTAAGTTTTTAAAGAAATTTTTTTGGCACTCAATGGTATATAGCACTTATTTTAATTTATTTTTTTTATTTTTCTTTCATCTATTTTTGCATCAAAATTGCAGGCATGGAAGCAGATTTTTAACCTTCTAAAATAAGGTCACGCTCTAAGAGCCATAGGTAAACCATTCTTCATTTTAATTTTAATTTTTTTTCCCTTTTTAATTTTTCTCAAACAAAAGAGAGCAGGTCAGCAGTTATTTCATATGATAAGTCAATGGGAAAGAAGCTGCTGGATCATCCAACAACGAATCCTTTACAAGACGGAGGTTGTTATATCACTAGATGAGAAGTGTCTTGGATCGGCCTGTCTGGAAGCAGGAGTAATCCCCTCTATACCTACTTCAGATACTATGGATTATATCTAGAAGGCAGATTGGTAAATATGGCGAGAATAAGCTCACAAGAACCAAAGTATCCTGAGGGCTGCATATTATCAAGTGATCTAAAAGTCTATGGTCTAGACAAGTAAGCATCCAAGCACAAGTTTTGTCCTCAAATATTGGGAAACAAATACTTTTGTCCTTAACTATTGGAAAACTTGGATACTTACCTTTGCATCACAGATACTAAGTGAATGTCGTTGTGATAAGTGTTTCATCACCTTTCCAATGGATGGCAAGTGGCCTAAGAGTCTTTATGGGAAAGAGTATGGTTTATTCATCTTATTGTCTACACATCAGTTGGTACAGGCTTTCATCCTAGCCTCTGTATCTAGGTCCCTTATATTGTATGGCGCTACATTGGAATACAGGCCTAAGAGAGAATGAAGAATCGGTCAATCTTCAATCAGAGGTGGTAAGTCCAGAGGTACTCCAGATACAACAAATTCTATATCCATACTTTGGCATTAGTCCCTAGTCTACCAGAAGGAATTGGGACTGGTGATTGTAGAATATCCTTTGGAACCACATACAATAAAGCATCATTGCCAAAGGAAAGAGGCATTTTTGGCCCAAAACTCCATTCCAACGTTTATTGAGCAGTCTGCTGTGTTAAAGCACTCAAGCAACTTTTAAGCATCATCTGGTATATATATATGAATAAAGATCAATAAAGATCAATTGCAAAGTATAAGGCAAGGTTCAAGAGATCTCTGTGTCAACCGGTTATGTGCCTTACTCGCTGAATACAGACATGGTCTGGATATGGTAATCACAGGATTCAGTATTCATTGGCAGTCTTTCTCAGCCGATCGGAAAGTATCCAGGAGAAATGTGCCTACCAGACAAAGTCTTCCAGATGGTAATGAAATAGAGGCTTTTCCCAAATAGAGGCTATAACATCTCACAAGTATAACTTATTTATTGGAAGTGCCAATATCTTACATTATTATTTGGAATCTGTATGTTTCTTCTCCCTCCCTTGGTTATTGCTTGGGTATTACCCATTGTTGTGCTGCCATGGATGTGGCCAGAAAAACAGAAAATTTATTCATACTTAATTTGGTCATAGGCCATGGCAGCACAAAGATCCCGCCCAGGGATAATGCTGGAAACAAGACTAAGGATGGGAGTGATAGGAGGGGGTATTTATGCCATTCTTTTTAATATGTTCCTGTCTAATTAGGGATGGGGAGGAGCTACCCATTGTTGTGCTGCCATGGCCAATGACCAGGAAATGAAAATTACGGTAAGTATGAATACATTTTTTGTTTTCTTGGTGATATCCACGGCAGCACAACAATGGGTAATACCCAAGCAATAACCAAAGGATTTAGGATTTAATTTGGTTTAGATGTGCTTGAGACATGAAGAATATAGTGCCTTTTAGGTTGACAAGGATTTTCTTTACCTCTTTTTGGTTTAATAGTCTTACTATTGAATGTTTCACATTAATATTTTTATGTGTATGCTTCTTAATTAGTGATGTTGCGAACCGTTCAACATGGATGCTGTCCAGGAAGTAGGAGGGTCTGGGAGGGAGGGTCTGCTGGAGATTGGCAGGGATGTGTCAGCTGACCAGAGTTCGCCACAAACGGTTCGTGGCGAACCGTGGAAAACCGTTCGCGGCAAGTTTGCGAACAGTTCGCAACATCACTATTCTTAATCAGATTCCTGCCAATAAATTCCCTTTTTACATGT